AATTCGCTAGGAATGGTTCTGGATTTTCCAGGCTTATATCTTCATCATACACCACAACATTACCTGTTGTTCTGCTTTATTGTTTGTGTAAATGACTAAACTACTGTACTCTAGTCATTCCTACATTAAATATTGTTTGCTGCTTAAATTGATTTTTTTGCCTTGTGCAAGTTGTCCTCATTTTTCTATTTGTTTTTTAGCTTTAGATTTGTGCCCATAAGTCATCAATATGTCAACTTCTAACTTTTCTAGTTTGTCTAACTCTATTGGCAATTAACAACTTTTTATGCTTTTTTTTTTTTTTTTTTAAGAATTTAACTTTATAAAAATTTTAATCAAGTAAACAACAAAAGAAAATAAACAAATATTAAAAAAATAACTAAATAAAAAAATATTTGTTTACTATACATCTATACGGTAATTGACAACAACTACAACAAAATACCCTTATATAAATGATTTCTACATACGGCGGATATAATATAAAGTGATATACCCAGCAAAATGATTCATTTACGGTGGAGAAACTATTTTTTTCGAATGAAGGTACAACACAAGGTAACCAGATCATTATACGATAGCACTCTCTTAGCACAGTGACAATCAAAAATGCTTTTAAATTATCGGTGTTCTGAATTAAAAAAAGTGTGGCAAGTGGACGGTGTCACTTCCGCAGGAAAACTACAGTCACAAAAAAGTGTAATGATTGCCTAGAGGAAGTCGGAAATTGCACAGATATTTTGGAAATCATTCAAACTGCTGGTTTATCGTAAATTCTGATGAAAAGATGAAAAAAAACTCTTTATTTGGCAATTCTATAAATTATGTATTATAATATAAATAAAAAAAATGTATACTATAATAGAAATAAAAAAGCTACACACGGTAGACTTCCAAGAAATCATAAAACGGTAGACTTCCAAGAAATCTTAAAATGTTTGTTGAACAGGTCTGTTTTATAAATGCTAGCAGTTGATTAAACACTTTGCCAATTAAAGATCAAACATTAGATCTGAACAAAGATGAGTTTAGGGACTTAGATTGAGATATAATGAGCCGCTTGCCAATTTATTACCACGTTGTACTTGTGCAGAAAGGTTTGATAAACTACACGTTATGTCATGCTTAAATAAAGTCTGTACAGACGTACAAGCGGAGCTAAATTAAAAAAAAAAAATGAAAAATTTCATCTTAAAACTGCGAACAACGAAGCCAGATTAGATATAAAAGCGTTTTGGAGGAAATGAGAAACTGAATTTTTTGATGTTAGAGTTATGCACATTCTACTCCAAGTCCTGCAAAAACCAACCAACAAAGAAGATTTTTCGTAGTCATAAAGAGACAAAAAACGCTAATATTTGGTTGCATAATTAGAGTAAGGTACATTTACCTCATTGATTTTTGGTACAAATGGTAGATTCGGAAGCGAATGTCAATAATTCACAACACTTCTTGTGCTCAACTGGTTTTGAGTGAAATTGTGTATATTATACGAGTACAAAAATATAAAATTGTCACCAATTTCCTCCTCCACTATAACGAAATTAGAAATCAATTAATCAAAGGCGGATCCATAGAGGGTGGAGGGGGAAGAAAGGAGAATAATTTTTTTTTCTAAATTTATATATTTAACAAAGCATGTTGTTTGAAAATAGAAGTAAAATAGGACAAAGTGTTAAAAATTTTAATGATTTTGTGTGATTCAAAATAAAATTGGACTGCTGAGATATCAATATGACGTAATTTCATAGTTACACAGATTAGAACAGTGTAAGACTATTAATATTAAGACTAATATTCTAAACTAACTAGAAAAGTTTTATGATTTAAACCTGAAAATTGTCCCCCTCTACTTTTTTAGAGTTTGGATCCACCGCGATTCAAAAAAATTGCCTTCCCCCATTCTTTCCTGGATGGTCCGAATCAAAAAAACCTATAAATCTGTTTTTTTTAATGGTTTGTCGACATTTATTGGTAAAACTTCGTGTTGTAGCCAATAAGATTTCTATTATTAAATTCGATTGTTTACTGCTGTTTTACGTCTGTCTTTCTGCAGCATGCTAAATACATATTGATATAACTCTAATGTCAATTGAAAAGAGCAAAAGGTAATAGTCGTCAAATAAAATTGACTTAGCTATGCAAGTGCAATTATTAAATTATCTGATAATGTTGGAATCTGTATTTTGCAATTAAAACTACACTGTAATTTTAATTGTAAAATACAGTTTACAGTAGGCATTTCAACAGTTACACTGTAACTGTAAACTGTAGTCTACAGTGTAGACTACAGTTTATGCCAGAAGCACCATAAGTTATGGTGCTATTTTTTTATCGTGCTTTCTACTAAGAGTTTTCTCAATTTTTTAAATAGTTTTTAATATATGTTTGTGTTTTTTTCATATTAAATCAGGACCACCATTTTTTTTTTGCTGAATGCATAAGTAATCAAACATTAGGCAAAGATGCAGACCTCAAATTTTGATATCATTGTTAGTTAAGTGCTTAAAAGGTCATTTAAAATATATGTATTAAAATCAAGTTTGAAAAGATTTAAGTGGTCTCAAAATCTGAGTGACTTAGCTCAAGAATATTGTTCAACTGTATAATTATAGTCGACTAATTAGAAGGGGAAAATACGCTTTAAAATGCAATTTTATAATGTACATTTAAATTGCATCATGTTCTCGTGTCAAGTCATTATCAAAATTGAGGTAAAAAGTGCATTCTTAACATATTGCATATGCATATATGCATATGTAATATGCTAACAATTAAATTAGTTTTTTTTAGAAAATACACCATAGCTAGAGTTCCCATATATCCTGATTTTATTTAGGAGAGCGCAGCGCTAAATTAGTTGAAATTAAACCTTTCATTGCGCTCTCCTTTGTAGAATCAGGACATATAAGATCCCTGAGAACCAGGGATCTTATATGAAGTCCTATATAAAACTGTAGTCAAATATAAAACTTTTGTAGTCCTAAATAAAACTGTCAGCTTTGGTAGCATAGTTGGTAGTCATAGCTGACAGTTTTATATAGGACTACAAAAGTCATTTACCATTATTTTGAAATATCATAGTCAATCATATATATTCTGAAAATAAATTTTTCACAGCTATTTACAAATAGTATTGAAATACTAATCTTAAGCAAATACCTTATAATAATAATTTATATATATACAATTAATCGTAGTAATAATATTAATAATAGTAATAATAATAACAATAATAATAAATAATTACAATAATAGTAATAGTAATTTTATGTTATTTTAAAAATAGTAATAATAACAATGATAATAGTAATTATAGTAATTATAATAATTTAAAAAAATTGGTATTACTTTCCATACAGCAGTCGTTTATACATACAAAGTTACAGTTACAAATAGTAATAAACTGACAAAATGTAACAACAATGACAATGAAAACAACTATTGCTAAAAAAATATAAAGATTTAATAAATATACTAATATATTTATTAAATATAGTTGTTATAATATAATAATCAAAATATTATGATTAAATAAATAAATAAAATATAAACAAAAAAATACTAAAAAAAATCAAAATCAAACAAAAGTTACAAGAAACATTACAAACAAAACAAAAAAATTATTTTATAAACATATATAATAATTGGCTAAAATGAAAATAAAAACAAATAATATATAACTGTGTAAAAAAATTTATATATCACTATTAAAAAAATAACTAAAAAAAACAATAAATGACTAACAAAAAATAATAAATAAAACTATATGCGCTAAAAAACTGAAGAAAAATAAATAAATAATAAAATAAATAATCCTAAGAAATATATGAAAGAAAACTAAAGAAATATATGAAAAAATAAACAAATCTTGATTTGCCGATCGTGGTTCTGATGTTTAAATAGTTTTTTTTTTCTTTTTTTGCTATTCTTTTTATGTATTTCATTCATAGCTTTTTTTTTAACTTCTATTTTTATTACTTTTTTACTTATTTTCTTATACCATTATATTAAGCCTCTATGAGTCAGGCTTTAGAATATATAAAACGTCTATAAAATGTCTTTGTGACTATGTTGATAATTTATTAACAATTATTTGAATTTATATTGTGAGAAAGGATATCTATAAAAAAAATTAGTTGGAATAAAATTAGGGATTTTGAAATATTCTTTAAAAGTTACACACAGTTTGCATCATAAGAATTGAAAAAAAAGTTTTAGAATCAAAAGAGTATAAACAACAAAGAGTATAAACAACAAGCAGCTATTCAAGTCAAACAAAAACCTTTTGAGATAAATAGCAATATCATTTATGGTACTTAAAGTGTAACACTGAGTACATTAACATAAGTAATTATTAGAAAAATGTATCTTAAAATTTAGTGAATTTAAAGTATGAGAATTGTTGGTTTTAAAATAATTTACATAAACCTGAAACCAAAAGACTTGTGTGGAGTCATTAGTTCGGCTAGATAACAGAACTAATTTTTTTTCAATATTATAAAAGTATTTATTGATTTCTTGGTTAATTAAAAAAACTGAAGTTTTTTAATTTACCTACTTTAACTATTGTTATAATAAAATTAATCCAAACATGAAAAATCCCTAAAAACCTATTCTAAGAAACACATTATAATTGTTTGCATGTTTTGGGCTTGTTTTATATATTTTGGGGTTGTTATAAAGTCTTGCTACTTCATACCTTAACTTTACTGATTCACTTTTTATTTAGATGATTTCTTAGATAAATATTTTTAAAATAAGTAACTGAACTTGCAGCTAAACAGGATCAGAACAACTATTTTGACATTTAATTGAACAACTAGACACATTTAAATAATTTATTATTTTAAATTCAACCAAAAACCACAGATGCTTAATAGAAAATATTCTTTATTATAGTAATTAGAATCAAATAAATATTTTTACTTTTAAGAATTATTTATTTGATTTTAAAACATAGTCTTGAAGTTTTAAAAAAATTTTGCATTTTATTTTAGATGATGGTTTTCGTAGGTTGTTAAGAAGAGCAAGCATAGAAGCAGATCGACCTTTGATTAGAGAAGAACGAAGAAATAAAGGTTATTTTAATTTTAACAATGTACTTATTTTATAACCCTTTGTATCTACTGGTCTTGTATATCTAGTGGACTTGCACATACTCTGAAATTTTTTTTATTTAGATGAAGAGGATGAAGATTCACTCAGTGATATTTTTGAAAAAAAACCTGATGTGTCATTGCTGGTAAGAAACAGAAGAGAAGAAGAAGGTAAATTTTTTGTTTGTTTAAAAAGTGATTTTAAAACAATTTATGAATTAATTAACTTAATAATTATAAGCAACTATCAGCAATTTATTTTTTTGAAAAAGAAAAAATTTGAAAAAAATATTTTTATTTATCAATTTTTATTTCAATGTTGTTAGATTTATTTTTTATTTTTTAAGAATCATTTAAAAAAAAAAGAAAAAAAGAGAAAAACTTTATATAAAAAAAGGAAAAAGGAAAAAACTTTTAAATGTATTTTTAATGTTTAACAAGATTTATAACAAGATTTTTTTTTTTTTTAGATAAATTTTACCAGACACTTTTAAGTCGATCAGAACCCAAACACAAAGGTTTTTAATTTATTTTATCATTGTTTGTAAATGAGTATTTTAAAATATGCTTTGCATATATTTAGAATTGTAAACTTGTTATATAAGTTTATGGAATGTTTCTCTGCACGTGTTAGTTAATGTATATGTTGTTAGCTAATGCTTATATTGTCCCTACACATTAGTTAATGATTTTTGTTTATTTGCGTTTATTTTGTATTTTATACTTAGTTTAATTAGTTTATATTTGTCATTTGATGAATAACTAGATATAAATGTTTGATAATAACTAGATATAAATGTTAAAGATGTATAAACTTGATTAAGTTAGAATTCATAAAATTTGCACTTGGTACCATAAAACATACATTTACTATTAGATTAAATTTATTAAAACTGCCAAAATTAATTACTTTAAGTTTTTTCATTTAACAATGTTTAGTGACTTTTTAAACAGCATTTAAAAAATGTGCCATTTTTAATTTTTTTCTACATTATTTCATTTATAGTACTAATTTAACTAAGTTTTAATGGGTATTTTTTAGATTTGTAGGAAAGAATACTCTTGATGTGCTTTTTTAATTTAGATAAAAGAGCATTTGATACAGAAGACAGTGAATCAAAAAAAGGTATTTTATTAAAAAGGTTTAAACATTTTTTTTAGAGGCCATAAGATATATTTATATCATTTATTATTGTTATGATTTTTCATTATTAGTTACTTGAGAGTTGTTTGTGTTTGTTTGAACAATTGTTTTGTATAAAAATTTATTGTTTGTTTGTAGTTCTACATAGTATAAAACATTTTATAGTTAAATGTGGATAAAAGTAGAATGTTTGTGGGTTAGGTAGCAGGTTTTAAACCTCAGTAGTTAATCCTTCTAGTCATCATATCTTAAAAATACTCAGCCCTGATCTGCAAAACAGGTTGATGCTATGAACGGCATCCTTTGTCATTCATTTTTTCAAAAAGCCACTTTTTCAAAAATTGTTTTTATGTAAATAGTCATACCTTAATAAAATATTTTATAAAAGTAAAATTTTTATTAAAATAAAATTTTTATTAAGGTAAAATTTTTATTAAAATAAAATTTTTATTAAGGTAAAATTTTTATTAAAATAAAATTTTTATTAAAATAAAATTTTTATTAAGGTAAAATTTTTATTAAAATAAAATTTTTATTGTAATTATTGTAAAATAAAATTTTTATTTTAATGTATGACTATTTAAATAAAGTAATGGCAATATGGAAAACAGCCTAAACCATATAATTTGGAACCATATAAGTTGTTATAAAAAAGTACTTATGGTTTGTATAGTTACAACATGTAGTAACGACATAGTAAGATATGACAACATAGCAAAATTGTAAAAACACATGTAATAACATGACAATATAACTTTGCATATACAATATAACTGATGTCATGTTATTACATGCATCTTCAGTTTTTTATGTAAAAAAAAATTACAATATATAATATCATTTATATCATTTTTGCAATTTTTATATCATTTATATCATTTTTTGCAATTTTTTTCAATATTTCAATAATTTTTTCTACTTGTAAGGATCTACATAAAATAATGTGAATTATGTTTTAATAAAAATATAAAAATTAGTATCATTAAGATAACACTGTCTTGTATTTTAAAACAAAGGAGATTTTTTAAATTTTTCTTTTAAAAGAAAGGAAAATCTGGAGAGAACTAAAGAGAAATTTTAAAAATTAAACTTAGAAAGTAAATACTTTGTTTTGAAAATTTGTTTACGACGAGAACATGATGCTCATCTAATTGATTCTCAGAAAAATACAGATAGTGTTGCTGTTTCATTAATACCAAAATAGAAAACATCAACTAATATTAAATTTTAGTTTGAAAAAAAGATTTCTACATGCAATAGCAGTACAGGATCTTTTTTTCTTATAGAAACATTTTCATAATGGTTGCCATGTAAACATTTTCATAATGGTTGTCATGAAAATATTTTTCTGCACATAAATGTGGCAGTCATGATCCTTTTTTTTCTCACAGCGAAAAAAAAGGATCATGACATTTAAAACTCTTTTTTTAATGTAGTGTGAATGAATAGAAAGTAAAATTTTAAAAAAGTTATATATAAAAATTTTTTTATTACATAAATATTTTGAGTAAATACATACATATAGTTTTTTAAAATTTTTTTAAATTGTTTAATAAATTATTTATTAAGTTCAATAGAAAAATTTTAGTAGAGAAAGTAAAAGAAGTTGATAGGGATTTAAACCCATAGTGGAAGACAAGATGCGCTTGATATTGTTAAATTTATCTTTTTGTTTATGGAGTTTAAGAAAGTTTTTGTATTAATTTAAATATCAAAGTTTATAGATGTTTTTGCTTTTTTTGATTTTAGTTTAAAATAGTTATATACTTATATATCCCACCAATAATATATCTTAAACAAATGCATATATAAAATATGATTATTTTAAAACTAATCTAAAGGTAATCTAGTTCGAGAAGATTGGACTGGTGGAGATTCGAAAATATCTGATGCTGACAGAGAAGGTGACCATTATAATAAACCATTGTTATATATTGTTTTTGTTATTTGTATAATTATTAAATAATTATGTTAATGTCATCTGTCACATCAGTTGATATATGTACACTTAGCATATAAAAAAAAAAATTAAAAATTATAAATAAATAAAAAACCAAAAAATATAAAATGTTATTTTCCATGCTGATACCTACATATAATATGATGTCATACCTACATATAATAGGATGCGATATCTACATATAATAGGATGAGAAAAATTCAAAAATTAGTTTAACTTGAAATAAATCTTTCCCCTAAATTAGTTAAACTTTAAATTTTTAGCATTTTTTCAAATATTTGTTGCTTTTTTTTCTTGCAAGAGATTTAGTATTAGGAGAGTTTAAAAATAGGATTAAATAACTTGTGGTTTTTATTATTTAAATAACTTTTGTGATTAAATAACTTGTGGTTTTTATTATTTACCTTTGAAAATTAAAAATAAGTTCATAAATATTGATTTTTTAAATATATGAAATCGATAAATTTTATGATTTTTTTCAAGTAAAGAGAACGCTAAATAGTACTACCTACATATTAAATGCACTTTTACTTATCCATTTAAAATTAAAAATCCAATTGAAGTGTGATCAAAGAATTCTGTAACATGTTAGAAAACAGTGTTTGAAGATAAAACAGTGTTTAAAGAGTGATATGATTGAAAATAACGTTCTAAATGTTTTAACAAATATGCAGAGTTTTTATATTATTCTTTAAATTATATCAACATTTTTAAAAATGATACTGAATTCATTCTTTGCAAATTGTTCATATTGAAATGACTACATTTGAATGTTTAGTTTTGTAGGCCAATAGCTTACTTTTTTCAATACTGAAGAAAGGTTTTAAAAAGATAAAAAACCTCTTAAGAAGGTGAAACTCCAATTAAATCTAGAAATATTTCATAGTTTTTAGCCATTATTAAAGAATCTTCTATCATATTGTTGAACTTTAGTTTTAATATAAACAAGATTTATTTAAAAAAATGTACTTTTACCATCAATTAAAAATTTGATGAGATGATCTATTAAGTATTTACTTTTAAGCAGAACATGATTGATTGTTTCTTCTAATACCCATACCAGCTCTTCAAGATGACCTTATCAAGGCATTTGAATGATCAAAAAAATGGTTTAACTTTAAAAAATGTTATGTTATTCATGTTGGAAAAAACAATCCAAAGCACGATTACTTCATATTGAATTAGAATAATGACAATATAGTAATTTTAGAAAAAGATCTAAGTATTAATTTCTTGGCCAATCTTAAGTAGAAACAACATGCAATTAGCTTTGCATATAAAGTAAATCGAGTACTTGGTGTGATAAAGCGTGCCTTTAGTTATATAGATAAACAATTGTTAAAAGTTACTACGCTTGTCTGTCCACATCTTGAAAACAATATTGTTGTATGGTTTCCTTACCTTAAAGGAGATACATCTATTTACAGGATATTTCCGAAAATCCGGATTTTTTTTTTAACTTTTAGTTTTTCCGGATATCAAAAATGTTTTCGATACATACAAGTTTAGGAATGTATTTTTGTAATATATTTGTTTTTTAAGCTTTTTTACCAATAACTCATATAAAAATTAACAAAATAAAAAAAAAAAAATTAAAAACAGCTCAGCTAAAAGCAAAATTAAGAGGAATGTAAAGGAAAATATATTCTGGATTTTTTCTGGATATTTTACCCTAATGATTTTCTGGGTTTTTGAAATATGACCTGGATGATCTATGTATATAGGAGTACAGTACAGAGACTATATATATAGGAGTACAAGTACAGAGACTAGCCACTAAGCTATATCCCTGTCTTAAAAACATGACATATGAAGAAAGATTTATGAGTTTAAAATTTGACGAAATTTTCAACACGACATTTAAGAGCTGATAATACATTTCTTTAAAATCATCAATAAAATAGATAGTGTAAATCTTACTTTACGTAGATACGGTTTCTTAGAGCAAATAAATATACAAAAAAATCAGATTCAGACATGTGAACACAACTTTAGATATCAAACCAAATTTACTACAATTTACTTCTAGACAAAGTTTGCTTATTAATTAAGCAGCAACAGCATAAAATGAATTGCCAATGGAAGTAGTAAATTATCATAGTTTAAATCAGTTTAAAAACAAATTTGAAAAATACCTGCAAAAAGAACGATAAATTTTTTCTTATTAATCCTATTTTTGTGAATGGTTATTTCAGTGTGTAAATCACACTAGCTGTATTAATACAGTCACAGCTTTATTAAAAAACAAAACATAACAAAGCAAATAGCTTACAATAAACAATATCTGTATTTGTTGCTGCTGTGTTATTTTCTTTAAAAAAGATCTCTTATAACAGGATGAAGAATTTAGAGAGTTTTCTTCCGATACTAATTTTTATGAATGATATGGCTCAATAAATCTTGTTTAAGTAGATCTTGATTTCTACATTTGGTGTTAGAAAGGCTGGTGTTGAGCTGAATATTGTCTATGGCTTGGATTTAAAAAGTATTTGCCAATGAAATCTGTGCTTTTGAATTTCCTAAGCAAATCTAAGAGTTTGTTTATTTACAAACTGAATTGTTTTGAATTTGTAATTTTTATAATTTTAAAAAGACATACTTGAAGATGTAAGATATTTCAATGAATTTCCAAATCTGTTACCTAAAGTTACCAAATCTATTACCTGTTTTTAAGGAACACAGGCCCCATTCATGGCATTCTGTGTTTGATGCTGTGTTTTTTTTAAACATTTTTCCAACAGTTTCATTTGTCTGTTTCCAGTGACTGTGGCAGCTGCCGTTTCATCCTCTATTCCAGAAACAACAACATCTTTCTCATCATCTTTCTCTAGTCCATCATATATGGTTGGAAGAAGTTTTCTATTAACATAAATGGCCACTGGTTTATGTATAAATTATATAAGCATTTTTAAAATTAGATTATTCTAAATTTACAACACAGCTGAATAATATGCATAATATTAAATATGTTTTATTATTATAATTAGATAGTTTAAGTAATTGTTTAATAAACAATTAGTTTATTACCAAATCCTTTTCATTAAAAGCAACAAACCAGTAGTCTAGCTTGGAAAAAATTTAATGTTTACACCACTTATGCTATATTTTTATTCTTAGCATTAGTCTTTAAGGAGGACTTTATCTTCAATTTTAGTTAAATTCATGGTATCATGTTGAGCAACATCAAACTGAAGATTACCAGACAAGATTCATCCTCCTTAGCTTGTTGTTATGGCTCAGCAAGAGATCAATATTCCTTTTTTGTATTTTTTTATTATCCTATCACTTTACAGCTTGTAATTATTATGATGAAGTTTATTTTTATTTAAGACTATTACTATGTTCTTCTTTATTATTTAATAATCTAAAGAAATTTAAATAAGTAAAAAATAAATTGCCTTAAGTTAAATTAAAAAAAAAACTATTAAAATAAAGGTAAGTCAAAAATACTTCATGCACAAATACTTTGTAAAACTTAATTTAAAATGTACTCCTAGAAGACATCAAAAATTTATTTAAAAAAAAATTATTTACTACTACAAATTATTGCATAATTAATAGTGTCGAAAATTATTACAAAATATTGATTATTCTGCATAATTAACAGTGACAAAAATTATTTGAGAATCTAATCGTAAAAAAAATTTTTTTAATCAAAAAATTTTGTTTGCTACCGTCATAATTGTGATAACCACAAAATAAACAAAAAATTATTAAAAAAAAAATTTTTTTTACAATTACAAATTATTTAGAAAAAAATACAATAAAAAAAGATACAAACTTTTGTGTTTACAAGAATTGTTGTATCAAAAGATACATAAAATGCAATAAAAGAGGCAATAGATGAACTAAGAATGGAATATATTAGTCACATTGAGCAAGTGGAAGATGATGATGAAAGTATTGGTGAAGTTTTTATGCTATTGGGTTAGAAAAATTAAGTATTGTCAAACATTTCAGATTTAAACAGCAAAGACAAAGATAACCATGGCCACTAGCTATTAAACTAGCTGATTCATCGTATCAAAAATAAAGTTTAAGCATTGCTAGAAAATTAAGTAAAGTAGAAGAATATAAAGATAAAGTATTCATTAATCCAGATTTGATGTACCAAGAAAGAGCTAGTCTTAAGTTGCTACTTGATGAAAAAAAATTTGACATTTCAATTCGTTATCAGAAACAACTTGTTGAAAAAAATAGAAATCAAGAAGCACTTAAAAGAAACTAAGAAGAACTTAAAAGAAACTAAGAAGCACTTAAAAGAAACTAAGAAGCACTAAAGAAACTAACAAGCAACAACAAGTACAAGTTAAGTAATAAGTTTGTCACGTTCTATGGGGGAGGTTATTTTAGAAATGAAAAGGGTGTTAAGACAATGTAAAATTCGAGTGATAAACTAAGCAAGATAACATGCTTATACACAAATGAAACACCATTGAACAATAAATTAGATGATTTAATAGACAAATTCTTCGGTTACAAATATAAGAGGATACACCTTATTTAGAATGGATAGAAGGATTGGTTGAGGTGGCGGAGTTTGTATGTATGTAAAAGAAAAATTCAAATGAGGTTTCTGAGAAATGTTTAAATAACCCAAATGTAGAGCAAATTTGGTGTATAATTGAATTTAGGTTTAGAAAAATTATTATGTGGATGTGTATATAGAACAGGAGTAAGCGATATGAATAATTGTAATGATATAATTAAATCTATAAGATATGCTCATTCTATGACTAAAGATAAAAGATTCAAATGATTATTAATATGTGGGGATTTTAATTTCTATACAATCAAATGGTCTGAAGAATATTATGGAATGTTATTGAACGCGTCTGATGTACAGGCTGAAATGTTCCTAGAGTGTTTAAATGATTGTTTTTTATACCAAAATGTAATAGAATGTACATTTCAAATTAACATAAGAGTAATGACTAACGTATTAGATCTAATTCTCACTGAATGTAAAAATTGTTTTTTCAGATTAATTCATCTCCCACCACTAGGAGGTATTAGTCATGGGCACCATACTATTAAATTCAAGTATAGCTTTGTAAATTGTACGATCGAAAGTAAGTTTTTATATGAAAAGAAAAATTATAACAAAGGCGGTTACTATAAAATGAGCCAATATTTTAAATCTATAAACTCGAGTAGAGAATTACAGAATATGGATGTGAACTCCTGTTATGAAAAATGGCTCTCTCTGTATCATGAAGGTTGTAAAAAAATCCATTCCAGATACTAAATTATCAAATAATCAGAGAAATAATGGAGCAATTTAGATGAATAATGAAATAAAAATATTTACTAAAGAAAAAAGGAGACTGGTTTGAATGTAAAAAATTAAAGTTTAGTGACAATCAGATGCTTAAGTATTATAAAGAGTTAAACAAGAATCTTAAGAAAAAAGTAAAACAAAGAAATAAAGAATTTGAACACCATCTTGCTGTTAATTTCGAAGTCAAATCCTAGGCGTGTATACACGTATATTAATAATAAGATTAAAGTAAAAGACATAATTCGAGCTATTTAGTTAAAAGATGGTAAAATTGTAACTAATGGTAAAAAAAATGTAAAATCGATACTCAGAATGAATTTTTCGCTTCAGTTTTTACTAAAAGTGACAGTTCTCAATTTCCAACAAACTTTGTGAAAACATCAAGTTGCTGTCAAGACCATGAATTTAATAAAACAATAATTGAAAGCTACAGAAATAAATTAGACACAAATAAAGCTATAGGACTAGATAAAGTACACCCAAAAGTTCTCAGGGAATGCTCAGATGTGTTGTCTAAACCATTATCAATCGTATTTAACAAATCATTTCAATCAGGAACATTACCTAAATTTTGGTCATGTACTAATATTATTCCATTGTTTAAAAAAGTTAATAAACTTGATCCAACTAACTATAGAACGGTTTCATTGACATCTTTTGTATGTAAAACAATGGAGAGAATTTTTAGGGATAAGATGATGAAATATCTAACTGATAACAATTTAATTAACGTGAACCAACATGGTTTTGTAAACAATAAAAATTGTTTTTCAAATTTGTTGGAAACATTCAATTATATTACAAGCTCCGTTAATAAAGATCAGGCATTGGTGATCCTATTTCTGAACTTTTTTAAGCATTCAACTCGGCAGACCATGAGAAATTATAATTTAAATTAAAAAGCCTTGGATTTGAATCTAAAGTATCAAATTGGTGTTGAGGCTTCTTAAAAAACAGATCATAGGAAGTGGTATTAGGTTATTTTGAATCAGAATGGGAGGAGGTTGTAAGTGGCGTACCACAAAGTTCAGTTTTAGGTCTTCTTTTATTTGCTGTATTTATTAAGGACATAAAAAAAATTAAATCAACCTGCAAAATGTTTTTTGATTATACAAAACTTTTACGATCTATCAAAGATGTCATGGATTCAATTGAACTACAACAAGATATTAATTCGTTAGTAGAATGGTCAAATGAGTGGTTAATAAAATTCAATAAACAAAAATGAAAAATAATGATAGTTGGTAATAGTCAACAACAATTTGAATTTATGATCTAGGGCTTAAAATAGTGAATACAAGTTTGGAAAAAGATTTAGAAGTTCTAATTTCAGGCGATTTGGAATGGAATAATCATGTAAACTGTGCAGTGAACAAAGCGAATCAAAAACTTGGTCAAATCAAACATGTCTTCGATTATATGAACAAGATTATGATGAAGATGTTATTTGTCTCATTAGTTAGACCTCACTTAGAATATACAGCCACAATTTGGAATTCGTACTGGCAGTATGATAAGGATAAATTAGAGAAAGTTCAACAAAGAATTCAACAAGAATTGAAAGAATTGAAATTGAAAAGAATTGAAAGAATTAAAATTCAACAAGAATTGAAAGTTTACGAGGTTATCGCTATGAAGAAAGACTTAAAAAACTGGATCTATTATTGCTTAAAAATAGAAGAAGAAAAGATTTAATTCAAATGTTCAAATAATTTATATATATATGAAATATGCATGTACAATAGTATTCAGAAAAAAACATCTGAAGGAAACTTTTAAACATTTAATTGAAAATGTAATTTGAAGTAGAATTCTTTAATACATTGTTGGGAAGCCCTCAGCGTCATTACTGCTTAAAACTGATGAGGCATTCTCATTGATGTAATTATCAAGCTAATTATCAAGCTAATTATCAAGGACTGATGAGTCCACAAGCTTGATAATTACATCGATTTCATTTTTTTCCATCTTTTTTCAGAATTTCAACTAAGCTGCTATGCATCTTGTAATTCTACTTTGTTCAATTGCAACGCAAAACCACTTCTTATCCAGCTAAAGTTGTCATTTTGTTAAAATTTATTCAAAAAAAAATTCTTTTTTTTATTAAAAATAACTAAACTTTTATTTACTTTTATTTAAAAATAAAAGCCTTAAAAAGTATTTTATATTATTTTTTTATATTAGTTTCTGTTCTACTTTAACGCATATTTCAATAAAATGAACTTATTAAATTAAATTGCCTAGATTTACTAAAAAATTTGTTTTTTACTTTTGAAATCAATTTTTTGATTCAACTTAAGCTCACGATGATTAATATTTAATTATAAAATGTAAATAATGATTTTTAATGAATGACAATGATTTAAAAATTGTTTTTTTTACATAGAGTTGACAAGCTTATTTCAAAAGTTGAATGCTGACACTGGAGAACAAAAAGATGTATTTGCTAGATCAACATCAGAGAATGATGTAAGTTGCTTTTAAAACATTTGTATGTTTTTTATATTATATTTGGTTATATACTTTTTTTTTATGTGTACTTACATGCTTTATACATTTTTAAAAATGTATAAAGCACCTAAGAATGCATAAGAACACTATTAAGTTATAAAATGTTTAAAAACAATTTTGCAAACATTTTTGTAAGTGCTTGCAAAATAGTCTTGCAGTCAACCTTCAACCATTATCACATCATCCTAATGTTGCTTCTTTTTCTCTTTTCTACAAATACTATAATGGTCATTGCTCTAAAAAGCTAGCGTCTCTTCCTTTTTCTGTTTCTGTTCCTAAGTGCTCCAAAAACTCTTATTCGTCTAGTTTTTTCCCTCAAACATCAGTTCTTTGGAATTTGCTTCCTTCATCTTGCTTTCCTGATTCATATAATTTGTAATCTTTTAATTCGTCTGTCGATTGTTATCTTGCTCTACAATCTTCTTTTCTCTTTTAATTAGTGGTTGCTTGCAGCCTTGTTGGAAGCGAAGATGTTTAAAAAAAATAATAATAATTGAATGGTTTATAATTGGTATCCAATATCGACTATTAAATACCTAGTTTTTAGAAATTGGTGATAATTTTTTTTAAGATTCATTATACAAAATTTAACCTTATCAAATGGTTTAAGCTTTTAACTTAAAAAAAAAGCTTTTAATTTGAATATTACAAACTTAGCATTTAAGTGCAACTTTTTAGTTGAACAATTCGTTGCAGACTAGTTGTTGTAGGACAATTAGGTGTCAATTAGTGTATTAGCAAAAAAAAAAGAACAATTTGGCACTGACAATTCATAACAAAAAATACTAATTTTTACTGATATACTACAAGATCTTTGTAAACATAGTTGGATCTGCTCTCGCAGCCAACCTTCAAGCTCTGCTTTTTTAAGTAAAATTAAACAAAGCTATCTTGACAGCTATGCATAAAATAAAAGAGTATTATTACCATAGTTACCATACTCAATGTTTATACTAGATTTGATTAATATATCTATATTTAGCATTTATTATTATATTTATATTTATTGGTATTTATATTAAATATTTAGTTAGTATTAGTATTTTTCTTCATCCTGTTATCTTCAACTTCATCCTGTTATCTTCAATAATTTTCAAAATAAATTTCAAAATAAAATTCAACAACATCCTGTTATCTTCAATAATTTTTCTCTTTATTCGATAATACTTTTCTTCTACCATACTATAAACCTTTATTATTTATTAGTTCATTATTTTAATCAATTATTATTATTATTATTATTATTATTATTATTATTATTATCTATTGTCAGTATTATTATGGTACTTATTTTTATTAGTATTAGTATTATTATTAGTATTATTATTATATATAAATGACTTTATTTTTGTTCCTTTGGTTTGTGTGTTTGTCTGTTGTTTAATTATTATTAGTAATAGTGTTTGTTTTTTTTTAATTTAAATTTTTTTTTCTTTTCTGGGATGTTCTTTTTATTATTAGTTCTTTTTTTTAATTAGTTTTTTTTTTTTTGTTTTTTTTTTTTACAAGGTCTTTGCTTTGTATCTGTCTTGTACTATTTGTATTTCACAAAACTATTATTGCAATATTTATATTATATTGTAAACTGTATTATTTTTTGTGAAAAATATATTTATTGATTAAACCATTGTCACATGGTCATGTGCTCCTTCTCTTTCTATTTTCTATAAATACTATAATAGGTGCTGCTCTAAAGAGCTAGCGTCTCTTGTCCCATCTACTAAAATTCATTATGGTGTTACTCGTTCTTCAATTAGTTCTCATACTTTTACTGTGACTGTTCTTAAGTTCTCCAAAAATTATTAAATTTTTTTTTTTTTTTCAAATTAGACTAATATATACACACTCCAAATATATGTAATGGAAAACCATACCATTTTATAAAACATTTCTGCTGGTACTATCACATAAAATGTACCTTGTAACATCTCATAAAATGTTTCTAATACCATCTCATAAAATGTTTCTTGTACCACCTCATAAAACCTACCTTTTACCAACTCATAAAACGTATCTGGTACCATAACATAAAATGTTTACTTGTACCCTCTCATAAAATGTTTCTTATACCATCTCATAAAACATTTCTTGTACCACCTCATAAAATGTACCTTTTACCATATCATAAAATGTACCTTGTACCATAACATAAAATGTATACTTGTACCATCTCATAAAATGTTTCTTGCACCATAACATAAAAGGTTTCTTGTACCATTACATAAAATGTTTCTTGTACTATCTTTTAAAATGTTTCTTTATCTCATAAAACACAGAAGTATGATAATCATTTTTTTATTATGTTTTATATATATATAAATTCTTTTGATCAGACTTGTTTACGAGTGACACATTACTATCATTATAAAATATTATACTTATAATTACTTTAGTCTTTTTATGTTTAAAGTAATTATTTTTTCATTTATTTTTTTATTTTATTTTAAAATAGTTATTACTGTAAAAGTAATAACGCAACTATTAATTACTATTCTTTTTATCTTATTATTAAAGTTATTAATTTAATTATTGTTGTTTTTTGTTGTTGTTGTTGTTGTTGTTGTCATTGTTGTATTTTTGTTGTTATTGTTTTGTTTTTTGTTGTTGTTGTTGTTGTTGTTGTTATTGTTGTTGTTGTTGTTGTTATTGTTGTTGTTATTGTTTTTTTGTTGTTGTTGTTATTGCTGTTTTTGTTGTGTTTTTGTTGTTATTGTTTTTTTGCTTTTTTTTTTTTGTTTTTTTGTGGTTATTGTTGTTATTTTGTTGTTGTTGTTGTTGTTGTTGTTGTTGTTGTTGTTGTTGTTGTTGTTGTTGTTGTTGTTGTTGTTGTTGTTGTTGTTGTTATTATTGTTTTTTTTTGTTGTTGTTATTGCTGTTTTTGTTGTGTTTTTGTTGTTATTGTTTTTTTGCTTTTTTTTTTTGTTTTTTTGTGGTTGTTGTTGTTATTTTTGTTGTTGTTGTTGTTGTTGTTGTTGTTGTTGTTGTTGTTGTTGTTGTTGTTGTTGTAGTTATCATCATCATTATTATTGAAATAAAATCTTAGTTCATTTAAATTTAACCTAAATATACAATCAATTTAAGTTTTAATAAAAGTGTTCTTAATTTTTCATTGAGTTGAAAGTAAAAAAGTTATATAAAATAATTTTAGGTTTCTGTTGATGGAGCTGCTCAAGATTATGCAAGATGGTTGTTGACTCAGCCAGTGAGTTATTCAGCCTAAAAAGGTTTTTTTAAATATTGTATTTAACAGATAATCTTTAATATATTATTCTATTAATTTATTTTCTTTTTTTTAGGCTAATGAAATTGGAAAGGCTTTATCACATAAAGCTGAAGTGGACCATAAATTAACAAAGTTGTTTTTTGAATCCAAAAGAGGTGATGTAATCTAGTGTTGTCTTTATAAATCTTAAAACTGTTTACTTTTTACTCTTAAATGATGCACCCCAATTACTATAAAATGACTTAAATTACTCATCCCAAAATGTTTAAATTGATGTTAAGGGACAAATGAATTGTGTGATGACAGTGATAGATATGGCAATAGTAGATTGATATGACCAAAGAGATTTGTGATGATAGTTATTTATGATGATAGTGATTGATAAGATGATAGTAGATAATCAATATAATCAATAGTGGTTTGTGGGATGATAATGATTTGTTTTATGGTAGGGGGGCTACTAAAATTGATGAAATCTTTTTTTTTTTCTAAATTATCTTAACAACTCCATTTTTTTTCTCAATTAAAGTCCCAATCTTTTTAACAATTGCTGAGTTATTAGAGTTGTTTTTGCTTCTTGTTATTTCTAATTTTTCTTTTTAATTAAGTTAAACATTAAAGCAAAAAAAAATTAAAAATGCAATGGTCTGTTGTTAAGAAGTTTTATTAGTTAATGTTATAATAATGTTAAAATTTTACTTAATATTATATTAACAATAATATTGATTAAAATTATTAATTTTTAAAAATGACTTTAATAATATGGTTGGAATTATTAGCAAAAATATAAAGTAACTTTTTGTTTAAAAAAAAAAAAAGTTTTTAAAATTCAATATTAATACTAAAAATATAAAAACAATGATTCACTTTTCTTTTTTTTGTTTCTATTCTTTAAATTCTATGGTTCTTTTTACTGAATCAACTTTAACTTGTACTTCTTGTATTTTTAGAATAATAGTTAGAAAAAAATTTAAATTATAAAAGAACAACTTCCTATATTTATGAACGATAATGTACTTGATGAGTCATCTACCCTCATATATCAAATCCATTGCAAAATAAGTATCTGCTAAGGCAGCATCTCAATGGTGCTTGCCACTTTTTTAGTCCAGATTCTATTCTCTATCTCTATAAATTTTATTTTATTCTCTATAAATTGCATCTCTTTATCATGCTCGCAAATTTCTTACTACGAATTCTATTCTTTATCTATATAAATCTCGAATCCTTGTATGGAATAGTTGCTATATCTGGGGCAAATCTGCTAATGATGTCCTTTTTCTTTAAGACAAGTTGCAAAAATGCATTGTAAACATAGTTGGACCTGCTCTTGCAGCCAACCTCTAACCATTATCACATTGTTGTAATGTTGCTTCTTTTTCTCTTTTCTATAAATACCATAATGGCACTGCTCTTAAGAGCTAGCGTCTTTTGTGCCATCTACTAAAACTCATTCTTATGTTACTCATCATTCAATTAAGAACAGTCTTTACTGTGGCTGTTCTTAAGTGCTCTAAAAACTTATTTGTTTAGTTTTTTTCCTGGAACATCAGTTCTTTGGAAGTCGCTAAGATCTTCTTAAAATTGTTTTGCTGAAATAAATAGTTTACAAAATTTAAGTTTATAAAATATCTAAATATTTCTCTACCATTCATGTTTATCAATAAAAAAGTTTTATACAAATTTAGTAACTAAATTCAATAAGGTCTTTTGAAGAGCTAAACAAATTGATTTAACCTTGAGTTGATTAAATAATTGAAGTCAAAGTTTTGCAATGTATAGAAACCATCCTACAGTTTTAACCGGGGTAGTTTCAATTACCTAACTAAAAATAGAGTTCTTCTTTTACTTGGTTATGCCAAAAAGATAATTATTTTTGATTTCAAATTTGTTTAGTGTTTTTTAAGTAAATTGCTTTAAGTATTTAAAATTTGAATGTTTTATGATATGGTAACCTTTGTATTTTCGTTCTATTTCCTTAGGATACTTATCAATCACCATTTTTATGTTGTGACTCAAAGGAGAACTGTAATTAAAGCAAAAATATTATTATTGACTGAATTTTTTATTTATAGTACTGCTGATAATGTTTATCTCACAGTTTAATTAGTTTAAGGCAATCAGAAAATGATTTTTGTAATGAAAAAAATTATAATTTATTCCATATTTGTCACCAGACTCATATTGCTCATCTGACTTTTCTTCATTCTCCTTTGGATGGTTATCACCATGATTGCTGTAACCATTACATTTGCAAAGATCTCTGCAAAATACACCAGCTTTATTAGAAGTAGATCTTTTTGAGGAACAATCGTTACAGCAATAACAATGAATGAAATTATGCATCTAATCTGGTGCACCTGGCCATTCTTTGCTAGAATGATCATCAAAGCAACTATCTCTAAAAGATGGGTTAATCAGTGCTTTATGTGAACTTTCTCTGATAAAAGCTTTAAACTTGTTTACGTAACGTTTCCTTTCCAAGTTTACCAGATTTAAAATCCGTAATAAATTCAAATAAAAAACTGAACAACTTGTATTAAAATTTGTAAACAGATACAAAAATTATTATTAATATTAGTCATTAAATTAATTAAAAAATTAAAATTTAAAAATTTTTAAATTATTTTAATTATCATGAGATGTTAATGGAAAGCATTATGAGAAAGATTAATAGTTGAACAAACAATTATTTCTTAATAAAAGAAACTTTTTCTTGCGGTTTACTCTAGCTTTACTCTGGGAGTGGTCAATGATATTGTATTGAGAAACTGTTTAAAAATACATCTGGACCAAGGTCCAGATGTGTATAATTTATATGTATACAATCTTTAAGATCTTAAACACAATAATAACCAATAAAAGTGCGACAGATTTGAACTTTTATTTGTTTATTCTTCACAAAACTTGACGATGTGATGTTTTGCATAATGAATGGAAGTTTTGATTTTTTTAATCTGAGTTTTGTCATTTATTAACACTTTTTTACTACATTTTGACATGAATTTTATCTACATCATATAAATGCAATTATTACTATAGTTATCTACTTTTTTTTTATTTACATCATATAAATATATAATAAGTATATATTTAACAAACAAGTCTTATCAACAATTTTACCTTTTAAATGTTTCTGTATCATTTTATTTATATTTGCATAAATTTTCATGATTCCATAGATTCTTTAAAAATTTGTTTTTCATTTTTATTTTCACATAATGATTTTATGTATATGATCAAGAATAAACATAATGAATGAAAAATGTTTATGATTTAGGAAGCATTTCTAAACACAATAATGCAACCAAAAGAGGAAAGATGGATGATGAAGATTATCCTACCAAAGTTGTATATCCTGAACCAGTTCATTGGAAAACAAAAAAGAAGAGTGAAGCACCAAGAACAGATAGCGCTGTTAAAAGCTCAATTGTACCTGAAAATTGCACAACTGGAGAATGTATATGTAGAAAGAGTTGTCTTCCAAGAAAACCATTATCTGTAAGTGATTATTAATGATTGGTTTTTATTTTTAAAATTATTTCTGACATTTTATTTTTATATAACTTTATACATTTTATAAAGGCATATAAAGGTAGTAGGTATATATGTGTATTAAAGGCATATAAAGGTAGTAGGTATATATGTGTATTAAAGGCATATAAAGGTAGTAGGTATATATGTGTATTAAAGACATATAAAGGTAGTAGGTATATATGTGTATTAAAGGCATATAAAGGTAGTAGGTATATATGTGTATTAAAGGCATATAAAGGTAGTAGGTATATATGTGTATTAAAGACATATAAAGGTAGTAGGTATATATGTGTATTAAAGGCATATAAAGGTAGTAGGTATATTAAATATTTAAGAAATAAGAAGAAAAAGGAAATAGGTAGAAAAATTTGAAGCTTGTGAGTTGGTTGAAAATGTTTTTCTAGGAATTAAAAAAAAAGTTGTAAAAACAAATGACTGCTGTAAAAACATAACACTTGACTAAATTGTGTTACAGTAGTAGAAATTTTTTTTCATTTTTAATTTTAAAATTTTTTAAATTTACTACAAAAACAACGAATAAGATACAGCAAGAAAAGGATTGTGGTTCAATATTGATTGTGGTTCAATATTGATTGCTAAAACTACAAAATTAAGTACATTTTTGACTCCTACATATGCTTTAATAGACTTCAAATTACTATACCTGATTTAATGGTATATAGGAACCCCAAAAAATATCCTTATTTATGAAAAAAGAACAACAGATGCAATATTTATTGTATATCAAATTCAAAAGCGATTTTTTGATAAGAAAAATAATCTGTAATCTTTGTGAACTTTGAAAGACATTTTGACAGAATACCAAAGGAGAAGGCGGAAATCAAGGTTTAGCATAAAGAGAACATTGGGCATAAAGATGCAGGTGATTAGGTGCATGTAGAGAGTTAGCACAACAGATGACATGAACAAAGTTTAGTTAAGAAAATATTCGAGACTGTTTATATTGGAGAACATAATAAAAAGCATATTTTGCCATCTTCTTTATCCGCCTGCCGAAACATAAAGCTTTGGTTGATTTATTTACTGAAACGCATGATTCCATTAGCTTGCTCATCTCAGGGCTTTAAGCTAGATATTTTGGCTATATGTTTAAATCAGAGCGCATGTGTAAATGGAGAAAGTTAGAGAATTTTTTTTATGTTTAACATAAAAAATATATTTAATTTTACTTTATTTATTTCTTTAATGATTTTTATTTCACCTCATGGAGAATGGTAGCTTATTATAATAGAAATGTTATGAGAATTGATGTCAATTGAGTCGGACATAATTTTAAAATGCAAGTTAGTGGTTGAATCAACTGAGAACAAAAGAAAAACAGTCGACTTAAAAGACAGTGATTGTCAAAATAACTTGGAAATTGTGAATATTAAAGAGGGGCCTAAGGAGACATATGATGAAGTTATAAAAAAAAAATAACTGAAAACTGTTATTAATGAAAACCTTCAAATAAATGAATATGTATTGAAATATATTGAAAAATATATTGAAAAGACAATCTTATAAATCTAAGGCCTGAAATGAATTTAATTTTTATAATTACATTCTTGCATAAAGATGGTTGGAATGATAATCCATTGCACTTTATTTCAGTATGATGTTGTTAGTGATGTTTATATGGCAATTTTCATATAAAACATTTGCTAAACTTTTTGGTTGTTTTTTGTGATAAGACAACAATCTTTTATTAAAAACTTAATTTGGGCAGATCCAGAATTTTTTGATGTTTTTCAAGTAAGTGACTTATATATATAACTTATTTAATTTTACTGACACCAAATAAAGATGTTTTGCTATTTCCAAATATCATAAGATCAGGTTTTTCAAAAAATGAGTTGCGTATGTTAGATAAATAATAATTTATAAATATAAATTTTGTAATAAATTATTGTTTATTATTTATATATGCTTGTCATTGTCATTTTTCTTAAATTATGAAATTTAGTTTATTTATAAAATCTATGAAATTTAGTTAATTTATAAAGTTTAAATATTATTTATCATTTTTTATTATTCAATATTTTATTTAAATTGGTTTTTCAGGACTGAAAGTTCATGTTTGCAAACATTAAAAGTGTTATTCCTAGAGTTTCTACCAATAAAAACTACTAGGCTAGAAAGAGTTGACAAAACTTATTTAAAAAAATCAAAAGTTTATTATGGGATTAAAAAATTTTTTCAGGAACATCGTTCAAATCGAAGTCATTTCATATTAAATCATTAAACCATGTTAATATTATTTGAATTTTGCTGTATTTGCAGTTTCCATTAATATAAGATTATAATAAAAATGAACCAAAAATCGAAAAAGGTTTCCCAAGATATTGTCACTAAAAATTTTGCTGAATCAGCTGGCTGGCTAAAAAATTAAGAAATTTATTAAGAATAAAATGTAAACCAATACTAAATAGATGAATTGTTAATTTAGTTTTAGTTAAAAAAATTTTAATTATCTTGTATTTATTGTGAACTAAAAATATTCTTAAGAGAATAGGATGATTTGTATAAATTTATATGTTTGAATTATATGATTTTGAATTGAAATATCTGAATTAAATATGTCCTTGATGTCAAAGCTTAAAAGAAAATCAAAGATTTAAAAAAAAAAATCTTGTTTAAAATTCAAAGATTTTTTTTTAAAAGATTCTTTTAGATGTAACTTTTTTTTAATTTGTGAATACTTTTGAGTGTCGAACATAAATAATATTTCAAACAATAATAATGTAATTATAATTAAAGTTAAATATTAACAACATAAATATTTCAAACAATAATAATGTAATTATAATTAAAGTTAAATATTAACAACATAAATATTTTGAATAGTAAAAGAATAATTTTCAAAACAAAATGTTTTGTGTATAGTAGAATATTGTTTAACAATTTTTTTTTTTTATTAATTAGTCACAGCTACTAAATATTAAATTCAATTATATCCTTTAATTATTGTAATTATTCGAATATTTTTTTTAGTTTTCTCCTTGTGAATGTTCAGAAGGTTGGCAAAACAAACCAGCTGTTCAACTTGCAAAAACTGTTGCAAAAAAATTTACTGCTTTCTTATTACCTCACAAATCATCTGATAAAGCAAGCAAAACGCTGGCTGCTTTTGGTCCAAAGTTATGCAATGATGACAGTCCACATTGTTTATGTACCAGAGCATGTTATCCACGTGGCATTGCTGTTTTATATCCATGTCGATGTGAAGGTGATCTGAAAATGAATGAAACACTTTTACAAAATGCTACAGCTCAAGAATTTGCTTCTGTAAAAGCTCTAAAGGTCTAAAATTAAAAATCAGTAGAATTGTTTGTTAAGTAAAAAATCTTCTTTTTTAGATGTGTGTGTGAGGTGTTGAGGTGGGGTTAGGTGTAGGTTCCGAATCTGACTGACTAGAGTTTCTAAGAGATGATGAGATGTTGGTAGGCAACTTCTAAGTGTGTTTTAAATAAAAATTTCATAAAAACTTGAAACCGGCTCTTGGTTATTGAAAGTTTCCATAAAATGTTTTTCAACCTCTTAAAGAAGTGGAATTTAAGGAATATTTTTACTAAAAATACATTAAATGTATGTATATATATAACATGTCACAAACAAAAATCCCTTAAATAGAGTCATTATTCATCATCATATATTAATCATCGATGTTTAGCAATGTTATTAAAATCTTTATTTGCAAACATATGAAGCCAGTTTTTTAGCTTTTAATTTAAAAGTTTTCATTTGTGCTAGTCAGTCTTTATTTCTTAATTATTTCCAGATTTAGGAAATCTTTTAAAAAATGTTTCTGGACTTAATCTATCACAATATCTAGAACCTACAAATCTACAAATCTTATTAATTTAAAAAGCACAATATCTAGTAACTTGTGTTTAAGAAAATTATAAAAAAATTATTTGTTAAAAAATTATTCCATTTCGGCAAACACAGTCAATTCTTGCAAACTTACTTGCTCCAAGCCAATGTACGTGATTTTGGTAGATTTTTTTCATACAATACTCAATTTGATTTTTTAGGTGGAAAAGATTTCAAGTTTGCAAATTATCTGCCAACACCAATCTTTTAGTTTCAGTCCAAAAATCCACTATCAAGTGCAATTTGTGCACATTAGCAGGATTTTTATCTCTCAGCACGTTTTTAATACTTTTGCGTTTTAGGTAATTTTGAATTTTGTTTGAATAGTGTGTGGAAGCTAGATCAGATCAGCACACAATTTTGTCATTTTTGTAAATCTCATTGATGAACTTTTTTAATTTTACTAGATGTATGGAAATGTACACACCCTTTTAGGCTTCATGGCCTAAATGAGCAATGTAATGCTTTAAGACTTTCTCAGACAAGGCTATCCGAATGAATAATTTTGGCTTGTATTTGCATTTTCTTTTGAGTTTTACCTCATTATGTGTTTATCTAGATTAGAAATATAATACCCTGAATTGCCAGAAAACCCAGTTTTGCTTAAAGGAAAATACAACTTATCAACAAAATTTTTTTTACCAATTTTCTCAATTTATATTGATTTTCAGATAAGACGTTAATGTTAGAGTTGTACATATCTCTTTAATATGTACAATGGTGCCATCTTTATAAGCGATCACAATTTTTTTTGAAAAAGTCCTAACAATTTTAGGCACTTAAGGCTCAAAGTTGCTTTCTGAGCCAATGTTCTTTTTGGTACTTTGGTTTTTTTATGATAACAAATGTCTTTTTGTTGATAATTTTGGAAAGCTAAATTTTACTGTGAAACACCATTCTTATCTATCACCTTTTTTTTTCAGTCTTTCTGGTCCTATGTTCTCCTTTTGTTGTAGTATATTGTACAGAGTCACATTTGGGACATTTTCCATGTGAAAGTGATAACAATAAACATTTTGTTCTTATTTGAATGTAAATCCAAATAAATGTACATTTATTTTTGGATTGCTTGATTATTCGAGGTTTTATACATGTTTAGTTAAGTTCTTAAAAAAAAAAAGAAGACATGCATATTGTAGAGGATTAAATTTGCAACAAAGTAAAATTATAAAACGTTGCTAGACATATCGCAGTTATGTTTTTTCAGATTTTTAGTTGTGACATGTTTTATATATATATATATATATATATATATATATATATATATATATATATATATATATATATATATATATATATATATATATAAATATATATATATATATATATATATATATATATATATATATATATATATATATATATATATATATATATATATTCCTGATTTTAAAATTAAAAAAAAAGTTTCAAAACATTTAAAAGACTTAAGAGGCAATCTATTAGACCCAAACTCTCAGTTGATGTATGTACATTCAATGCATCTAGAGCTAAATGTATCAGTTAATGCAGTGCACTCAGCTGTGACTAAAGAAATCAGTTGATACATGTTTGAAATAAAACAAAAAAATAAAACAAAAGTTAAAAAAAAGAAAAAAATGATTTTAAAAAAATATTATTTTTACAGTTTTGTTTTTTCTTTTACTAAAATTGTCAAGTAAAAAACAGTCGTTTTAAATGCTATATATATATATATATATATATATATATATATATATATATATATATATATATATATATATATATATATATATATATATATATAAATATATATATATATATATATATATATATATATATATATATATATATATATATATATATATATATATATATATATATATATATATATATATTAGTTAACAAAATAATGTTTATTAATTAGGAATCAATAGTATCTGTCTAGTATTGCTACTTGTGAATTGGTAGTGAAACTGTGTAGTTGAAGACCCAGACCCTCAACTTTTGACCTAGACCCTAAATTTTGAAGTACCTTTTTTTTATATTTTATCTATTAAAAGATATTATGTTTGATCCCCACCACGTCCCTGGTAATGCCACGCTAAAAAAAATATATATTTTTTAATTTGTTATTTCTTTTAAACTTTTAAAACACTACAAAACAGTGCAAAAGTATTGTTATATAAAAAGTTTATATAAAAGTAGATGAAAATAGATTGAAGTATTGTAAATAAAATTTTTTAATTAAATCAGTTTACTTACTATTTATTTGTTAAAGTTATATTAAATAAAATTTCTAGGTAATAATTAACTAGGTAATAATTAATAATTCAAAATAATAGATAATAATAAATAAAGAAATAATATTTAAAAAAAAAAAGAAACCTCTACTAATTATTAACTTTTTTTCAATAGGCAACACTGCAACAAAAAACTGTAGTTAAGACTCATACATTGGTAAGCTTAAAAACTTTTTATGTGTTGTTGTGGTCTTAATCAGTTAAAAAACATCTTTTTCTAATTTCTTCTTCAAATGATACAGAACCTGAAGTTTTGTTAAACTCAAATATATGTTTAGATGGAAGTTTATTAAATGTTGACAAGATAGCTACTGCATCAGTCTTTTAAGTTATGTTTCCATTAAGTGCTCCTATTTTGCTGAAAGGTATTTTTGAAGAATACTTAGCTAAAGAGTCTACATTTTACAGCTTTATTACGCTGACAAGTAGAGTGTTTCTAAAGAAGTGTTTGCAGTTTTTTTTGTAAATTGTCCATTTTCATTGTGTGGTTCTCCTCTGGTACTTGATAACTGACAGTTTAGTGTTGATAAGTTGGCATGATAACATCTCTTTTTTTTTATTTTATTTAAGATTATTAATTAAAAAAAATAAAGATTCTTAAAGCATAGTGTTCTGAATTTTATAAATTAGTTCCTAGAATAATTATTGCTAAAATTACGAATAAATGATGCATATATTTTTGAAACAATTTCACTTTTTGCAACAAGAGTTTTTTTGAAGGTATTTAAAAATAACATTATAATTAAATAACACTTTAGAAAGATATTATTTATTTTATGCAAAGCTAAAAGTTTTTGACAACATCTTATGATAAATGGCCATAAAATATGCATAAATTGTAGCATTAAATGTTCATTAGACAAAAGCAAAAATTCTATTGTGTCATGACAACTACTTTTAAAAAGGAATTGAAAATTTTTATCAAAACAATAATAGTTAAATGCATCAAGTTTTTTATCAAGTTTAAATCTTCATCAAGTTTATCATCAAGTTCAAATCTTCTCATATTTAATAATTTCATATTGAGAAATTTGTGGAATGCATCACCTACTAAAATGAATTAATTTTTAAAATAGTTTTATATAAGCCACAATTCTTGAAGTTCTTGAATTCTCCTATGGAATAAGGCTTAGATGAACACTGCCAAATTTTGCATGATGATTTAAAAAAATGGAAAAATAACTAAATAATACTTGGTTCTACATCATTTAAAAAGAAATTGCTAAAAGCAAATGAGCAAAAACAACATAAAGTTTTGCATTTATTTGAATTTTATTTAAAAACAAAGAAGATTTACATAATTTCTAGTAGTTTCTTTAGAAAATGTTACATAAAAATATAATGAGCCTTTTACTTGATTTTAATGTTTTATATGATAGACCAATGTGATGGCTTCAACTCTGATAGACCAATGTAATGGTTTCAACTCTGATAGACTAATGTAATGGCTTCAACTCTGATAGACCAACATAATGGTTTCAACTCTGAACTTTTGATTAAACATTTGACATAATTGATGGAAAAACCTCTGACCCTAGATCATTTAAGGAGGAAATAATTTAAAAAACACAAAAGATTCAACTAATTTAGTTCACATCATCAGCTTAAATTAAAAGTATCCAATCTGTGTCTGTTTAGCTATACAATGGAGAAAAATTTCAAATGAAATCTCATAGAGCTATCCTAGAAACATTCATGATGCTTGTTGATTCACAAAAGCAAAACATAATCTATTTTTGTATGTTGAATAAATGACAGTTATCTTATTGATTTGGTCAGAAATATTATCCAATAATGTGCTCTGGTTTGTTTCCAAATAATATTACATTACTAGGCAATAAATGGTGCTCAAAAATTCTGGTATCTTGTTTGATTAATGAGAAAATTACTACAGTTAAAAAGATGTAAAATATTTAGAGATTTTTTAAGTTGTTGACAAAACATTTTGCAGACCAGAAGGTTTTACATCAGCAATAGTAGAAGATTAAGTAAAAAGTTCAAAGGTTATTTTACTCTGCAAAATACTAACCAACAGTTGAACTAAACATTTATATTAAAAAATAATAAGGTAGACATCTATACCACACTTATGCTATTCTGTGAATTACCACACTTATTTCTATTCTGTGAATTATGATACAGAGAAAAATAATTTGCTATGCAAAAATAATAAATAAATAATAACAATATAATCAGTGATAATTTTAACTAATTTTTTTTTGTTTAGTTTACACAGTATTTATAATGTTACGATAATTTATTTTAATTTTTATCACTAAATACAGAAAAGTTTTATCAAAACATTAAATAAAAAACCTTTAGCTATTATTTATGAACAAAGTTTATTTTGTTATAATGTTACATGGCATTAATTGTTCTTTACTGTTATATGAACATTACAAATAAATTGAAAAATAAATAAATGTATATATTAATTTTTAGAATGTGTCATCTATTAGAACAGTAGATCCTCTTGCTATCACATGGTGTTCTCAAGCCTGTGGAGGACTTCATGCTGTTGCAAATGAGAATCCATGTAAATGTTCACAAGTACCTTCCAATAAAACTGTTGTTTTGGCTGTAGACCCAAATATTGTACATTTTCCTCCCCGAGCACCTGAGTTAACCAATCCAGTTTCTGCAATGGTTTCAAACACTAATTTTCCTGGTGCTGTTACAGCTGCTAACAATGTTTTTTTTCCGGTCCCAAACATACCTGCAACCTTGATTGGAAATCATCAAGTTAACAATCCTGTTTCCCCAGTCATTATTGGTGCTTCTCAAAAACAAGTTGCCTCTCAATTTCCAGTTATTTCAAATTTAGAACCTGTTCATTCTGTTGGTATCCAACAAGCACCTTTGATAGTTTCAACACCTCAAATATCTCCAAATGTTAATGTAAAAGGATCAATTCGCACTACTGGAGATACTCCTGCTCTAAGTATCTGTGCACGGTCTTGCTATCCAAATAAAGTGGGAACAGATCATCCATGTACATGTGTTCGAAACGCAACAGGTATTAATGGCATTTTTTTGTCTTTTTAAGCATGAGCATTTTTTAAAATAAAGTAAAGTAATTTTTATGTTAATATATTGCTTGTGTATTTAAAAAAAATATATATTTTTTCAAATATGCAAGTTTAAATTTAAATTATAGAATAATGAATAAATTAAATAAACCATATTAAAAAAGTAAGAACTTATTTTTTATATTTATTGTTGACTAATCAGTGTTAATATTTATACACCTGTTTTTGTGAATGTTTTTTTTAAATGGAGTCCTACAGATTTAAAAGAACAGGTCTTTATTTTTTTGTAAAACTGAAGTTATTCTATGCACATTTTTGTTCGACTGAGACTGGTTTTTAATTATTCTTTTTCATCTTTTAGTTCGATATGAAAATTTGTTGAAGAATCAATCACTAGAAAAAATAAAAAAACGTAATGTCGTTTTTGTTTTTATTTTTTATTTTTGAATATCTAAGCATAAACATTTAATTTTGTTATACATTATGCAGCATAGAGAGCATATTATTAAAATTATTTAACACATTTAAACATTCATTTTATTCATTTTTTTTGTTCAATTTCATTCATTTTGTTTTTCATTTTATTTTAAAGACAATAAGTATCACAATGGCTAATTGCTTATGTATGTAAGGTTATGTGTAAGAGTTTTGGATACGAGCATTTGCAAAGTTTTTAATATACCTGTAAAGTAACTATAAAGTATAAAATTAAGTTTTTTTTTGTTTACAATGAGTAAATGAGAGAGAGAGATACATAGATAAATTTTAAAAGTAAATAATTTTAAGGCTTTATTCTTAAGGGCTTTTAGATTTAGTTTAAGGTTTGATTTTTAGCTCAGCCCCAAATCTGGCATGCATATCTATGACATGCTAAATACTAGTATGTCAAATCTTATAAAAGGGCTAGGTTAAGCTACAACTTCAATTGGTTAATTTAGTTTTCAAGTTTGACAAGGCATTACCAGTTGTTTCTATCTATGTCATTACTAATTATTTCTATCATGTCATTACTTTAATTGATCCTCTTTACTATATTTTCTTTTAAGTTACTTTTTGGCTATTTTTGGTTGTAATGTACTTTTTAGCTATTTTTGCTTGTAAGTTACTTTTTAGCTGCTTTTGCTCTTTTGATTGGTTAATTATTTGAATAAAGTTTTAGGAGTTTTTAAAGTTTGATGAAAATAGTAAAATGGTACCTTTTAAAAAATCACCATTACAACAGAAATCATAAACTGTGTGTGTATTTGTGTGTGGGTAGTGAAAATCTGTGTTCTCATGGTAAATAGTCAGTTTTGAAATAGTTAAATTTAATTAATAAGTAATAAACAATTTATAGACTTATATTATCTAGTAATAAAGTATATTTGAACATCTTTTTTACTGAGTATTTCAAAGATCAAGTATATATTCAGAAGATTGGGTTCAAGAGATTAACATATTATGCATTTACTTAATATTATCATAGTATATATCTTGTTTTTTTGTAGTTTTGATAAAAATTTTGAAACCATTATTTATTTAAAAAATCTGTTATAGATGCACCATTAAATTTTGAAGTAAAAAAAAATTATTTTTTAAATATTTTTATATGTAAGATGAAAATGTATTTTTAAACATAATTAAACATTTTTTTTTTCCTTAAAAGATTATCAAGGTTGTTTTAAAGATCGCAGACCAAATCGAGATCTTCCTAAACGTTTCACTCGTTATGAGACCACTCCTGAAGCATGCATTAATGAGTGCCAGTACCAAGGTTTTAAATTTGCTGGTGTACAGTATGGTTACTTATGTTTTTGTGGTAATGGCTTTGGAAGATATGGTAGAGCAAAAGATTCTGTTTGCAATGTTGCTTGCATGGGTGATGCAACAAGAACTTGTGGTGCATTCTGGCATAATGCTGTTTACTCAGTTGGTTAGTATTATTAAATTTTTTTTTTTTACAACTTTCTTTGTTTTTTTTTTTTTTGCTAATTAATTTGATTTCTAATGTTTTTTTGTTTTATTTATTAGATATTATATTTTATAATAATATTATCTTTAATTATTAAACATTTTATTTCGCAGATGGAAAAGAATATGATCCATCTGATTTTGATTTTGAAAAACTTGATAAGGAAATGGTTGCTCGTGATTCTCTCGCTTCTGTTAGTCAAGCCAACAATGTGCAAGGAACTAACAGAAATCTCTACAGTATGAGAGTTCCTTTGTTTCTTTTTACATTTAAATTTGTATATTTTTCAGTAATTAAAAAAATGTATTAAGAAAAAATTTTGTTTTTAGATTCTCAAGGAGGTAACTTATCTGATTTTTCATGAAGTTGAAAAAAAAAAATGAATTAAGAGAAGAATTTTTAGAATTATTTTTAATTTTATTTATTGTTAATTTTTAATTTATTTTTTCATTAGTAATTTTTTTAAATATAGAAATTTAAATTGTAAAGATTTTTTTTTTCAGCAAATGTGGCAAGTCACTTGATGAAAGGTAATTTTCACTTCCTTTTTTTTATTTCAAAGATAAAATTAAGTGAAAAACTATTTAAACAAAAGAATCAAATATAAAATTTTTTGCTCAGATTAAGTAAAAGTATTTAAATATTTAAATATTATTTCCAACATCAACAAATATATTTGTATACATATATAAGTCATCTCTCAATAAATATAATATTTACATACATATACAAATGATGTTAATATATATCATATAATATATTTGTATTTATATATAAGTTATCTCTCAATAAATATTATATTTACATACATATATAAATGATGTAAATGATGCTAATATATATCATATAGTATATTTGTATACATATATAAATCATCTCTCAATAAATATTATATTTACATACAGATACAAATGATGTTAATATATATCATATAATATATTTGTATTTATATTTAAGTCATCTCTCAATAAATATTATATTTACATACATATATAAATGGTGTAAATGATGCTAATATATCATATAATATATTAAGCAGCTTAATGCCCGTTAGTGCGTGTTTGCACAGAACTTTCAGCAGCCATTAAATCCAAGTTAATAGCAAGAGAGAGTCTCAGAACTTTTTTAAAAGGAAGTATAAGAAATTTATGTAAATGTGTGAATATGTAGCTTATGTAAATTTAGAACAATAAGGCATTTACATTTGAATGGGTCATTTCAGAAACGCCATAAGTCATTTTTTGAAAAAAATGAGTCAAACATGATATCATGTTATCTGAGGGTAAATACATGTTTTTTTTTTTGAGAAATCACGTTAATAAGACCCTAACATGTAAAATGTAACTACCCTCTTATAACATGATTATGTGCTTCATCATTTTTGTCCAAAAACAACCTATGATGTTTCTGAAATAACCAGTTCATTTAATATAAAATTCCACTTGTATAGCATTACATATATACGTCAAGCTAAGTGTAAACATCAGTAGGTTAAGTTTAGCCTGCTAATCATATATGAAATAGCCGTGTATGCAATATGTATAACCGTGTATGCAATATGTATAACCGTGTATGCAATATGTATAATTTATGATAACTTTTTAAATTTTTTCTAACGGATTCTTTTTGGCTTAACCTGTTTTGTTCTGTATTTAAAGATGTGAAAAGAATTAATATTTTAACTTATAAACTTTTTATAGTACAACTCTTTATTAGTGGATACTCTAAATATCGCAATTATATTAGATTATTTATAAGCGAAGTAATTAGAAACCACAATATTTTCTCAAAAAAAAGCAATCATAATACTAATAAATAATTAAAGGATTTAAACAGTATTTAAATAATATAATATTATTAAATAATAATTTGAATATTCTATAACCAAACGTTTTATAATACAAATTTTGTAATTATAAATGCAAAATAATGAGAAAAAACTTTAAGCAATAAGAAAATAGTTTAGATTTACATTAACTGCGACTTTTCAAGTCGCAGTTAATGTAAATCCAATAATGTAAATCAAATTAATGTAAATCCAATAATGTAAATTTTCAAGTAGATTGTTAAAGATTGATTAGTTTTGGGTAATTGATTAGGATGAACATGATCAATAATTATTGATCATGTTATAATTGATCCTCAGTATGAACATGATCAATAATTGATCCTCAGGATGAACATGATCAATAATTGATCCTCAGGATAAACATGATCAATAATTGATCCTCAGGATGAACATGATTAATAATTGATTCTCAGGATGAACATGATCAATAATTGATCCTCAGGATGAACATGATTAATAGATTTTTGTTTATAATGTTAAAATTAAAAAAAAAATTTATTGCAAAAATTTTTATTTAGAAACTTTTTTTTTATTTATAAAGTTTTTATTTTCATTATTAATGTTTTTATTTGGATTGTTTATTAATTTGCATTAGTATGCATTAGAATTATTGATGTTGATTGGAATTTAAGATGATTATAAAGCTATTAATTTTTTTTTTATTTTAGCTGCACAAGCTGCACTGAAAGGTAAGATGTTGGCTTATACACACACAGATATATATATATATATATATATATATATATATTATATATATATATATATATATATATATGTATATATATACATATATATATATATATATATATATATATATATATATATATATATATATATATATATATATATATATATATATGTATATATATATATATATATATATATATATACATATATATATATATAAAATATATATATATATATATATATATATATATATATATATATATATATTATATATATATAATATATATATATATATATATATATATATATATATATATATATATATATATATATTATATATATATATATATAATATATATATATATATATATATATATATATATATATATATATATATATATATATATATATATATATATATATATATATATATATATATATATATATATATATATATATATATATATATATATATATGTATCGATACCTTTTTTTCAATTAAAAAAAATATTCAACTGTTATTTTTTTTTTTAGCTGCAAAAAAACTGTTACCTGGTATTTCATTGTTTTAATTTTTTATTAAATTGACATGTTCTGTAGTTTTCTATGTTTTGCTTCTTTTTGTTGTTTAATGGTATTTTATATATTATTATTAATGTTATTATTATTATATATACATACGGTATATTATTTATTATTATTATATTAGGTATCTCAAAAAAAACAAAGGTTGCTAAAAAAGGTGACAAAGTGAAACGAGAAGATTCTGAAGATGATGAAATTTTACAAGAAAAAATGTTAGCTGAAGCTTCACTTTCAGGTTTTTTTACTTTTTTATTAAAAAGTAAATTATAATTATATTTCTATTAAAAGATTGTAATTTGAAGTCCAAAATGAAGTTTAGCCTTTTTTTTAAAAAAATATTTTTAAAATATTTTTTGAAGTTGAATTTTGGTGAATTTTATTAAAAAAAAAATAACAAAAAAAAAAAAAGTATATTTTTTTAAATGCAAATTTTTTTAAATTTAACATCAAAATACAAAATAAGATTTACCTAAGTTTATAAAATTTGAAAAAATAAATATTTTAATTGTCTTTAATTTTAATTACAGCTGTGCGTCAAATTATTCATAAAACTAATTTTGGTATTGAGAAACGAGATTCAGAACGTGAAAAGCGTGCTATTGATGAAGATAGTGAGTCCTACGATCCAAATAATGGCAGAGATTTACTTGTTGCATATATGCAAAATGTTGATTTGTACCGGCGTCAAGTTAGAAGCGTTGATGAAGAAGAAGAAGATTACGACCGTGAGTTCATTTTTCTTTATTGTTAAGTTTTTTTTATTATTTGTCATTTTTCTTTATTGTTTTTGTCATTGAATACATAAATTATTGTCAATCAACTCAATGAAGATAATTATATATGAAGCAAAATTGCGAAAAAAATTTTGTTTAAAAAAAGGGCTAAAAAAGCTAAAAATTTATAAAGTAAAGCTAGAAAAAAAGCTAAATATAAAATTTCCATTTATTTCATAAATGTACATTTATTTATACTTTGCTTTAAATTTATTTATTTATTTAATTTAAGTAGAAAAATCTGCTGATGTCAGTGGTGTCAGGAATTCCTAAAATCTTATTCACAGAGATATCATTCGACTCATCTATCAATAAACTAAACTTTCCATGCCCGACATCAGAAATCAGGTATAAAAAATCATGCCCAATATCAGAAATCAGGTATAAAAAATCATGCCCAATATCAGAAATCAATCTGTAAAATGATCCCTAAGAACATTTTTTATTATTTCAGAGCTTTTAGTTTGGTGCATTTTTACCTTTGGCAAGTTTTTACTGTCTGTAAAATTTTTTTTACACAGTTCTATTAAGTGGTCACAGCTGTTCACTGAAGAGTGGCAGCAAACATATAATGCAATATTACTTTCTGCCTTTGCTGTTTCTTGAGATTTCTTAAAAAGCATGTCTGTTTTAGTAACTTATACGGGAAAGAAGCAAGGTGTTTTTTTTGTTGAAGCATGGTTCACTAATTGACAATGCTTTGCTGCTATGTCACATTTGCAAAATTGGCAATGTCCTTTAGTACTGTCACCAGGGACCTCACATAACCACTTTTTAAATGCGTCCATTTGTAGCCACTCTTTTCTGAAGCTTTGCTTATATGTTTTACTTGCGTTTTTACTCATCTTAAATTGGAAAATAATTAATAATAATTTAATTGATCAGTAATTTAGACACTATTTCTCACAAATGCAGACAGTGTCAGAGTGTCTGTTACTCAGATTACACAATTTTTGAAGCAAAGGAGAGATAAAGATTCGAGCGAGAGACTGACCCGGTGACGCAACATATGTAAGTGAATAAGCAAACTCTTTAGTCAGTAGTCATTACTCATTACTCAATAGCAAAGAACCAAAAGTATTTTCAAATGTTTAATTGAAACACGTTACAATCTTGTTTGTTTTTTATAATTTTTGGAACAAAATTAAAAGTTTTTCAATTAAATTAGCAAAATAATGTCATTATAAAAATAATATATGGAAAAGGCAAAAAAGTGCTAAAACAGTTTTCTATAAAGCTAGATTTAGAGCTAAGAGCTAGATTCAAAATTATGAAGCTAAATAAATATAAAAAGAGATCTAGCTCTAAAAGAGCTAAATTGGCAACGCTGATTTGTAAAACAACTACATTGTTCCAGTGTAAAATTTACAGCAATCAGTGTAAAATTACAGCAACTCTAAAACCCTAACACTATTGCTTCTTGTTTCTTTAATTGATTTCCTTTTTTTTCTCTTTATATTCCTCTGACCTTTTTAATATACCTCTATTTAAAAATATCTTTTCTCTCACTCACTTTCTCTCCCTCTCTCTTTTAGAATTATGAATGAATAGGAGTATAGATGTACATATATAATTTCATTTTAATAAAAAAATGTTTTTTAAAAAGTTACACCAGTATAGATAATCAAAAAAGAAAAAAAAAATTTGTTATATAAAAAAATATATTTATTATAATGTATTAAATAATATTAATTATAATATAATAATAACAATATAATAATTAATACTGTTGAGATAAAGCGTCAGGTAATATCTATGACAGCCGGTATAAATTAATTAATGAACAAGTTAGTTCAGTCACTAAATAATAAAAATGTTAATAGTAAGCTTTCTTGGTTTCTTGTGTTAACGTATCTCCAAATGTTAACATATGTTCTTTATTTACTACGCTTTAGATAATACACATAAATAATTGTTACAAGTTACTGATAATCCAAACAACACTTTGTAACAACTTATAACAAATATAAATACTAGTTTCAATTGTCCCGATATATTATATAAAGCCGTATAAATATAATACAACTTGTTTTACAGTATCTTCTATTATCTTCGGCTCCTCAACAACTTCAATCGCTTCTTCGACTCCTTCAACCGAACCACGAACGTTTGTTAACTGACGTTTTTATACGTTTTGTTTAAACGCTAGACGCGTTTCGATTCATAAACAAATTGTTTTGGTACGCTAGCGTCTATGCTACATGTCTATATGGTTCGATAAACTTGAATTACTCAAGCGTTCCGCTTGAGTAACCCACCTTCGTAACACTTGTTTGTTATTTCTTTTAAGTCAACCGATTGCAATTTTAATTTGAAGCTTTTAACTGTAGTAGATTGAACAACTTCGGCTGGTAGACTATTCCATCCATCAACAAACCTATTGCTGAAAAAATATTGCTTTTTCAAACAATTTCTGACCAATTCAGGTTTCATTCGATGTTTTGCTCCTCTAATGTTAGCTGCAGGACCTGATGAGCAAATAGAGTTCATTGTTTGATTTTGTTTAATATCAATGATTTCAATACCTTTAAATATTTTGAACTGCTGGATCAAGTCGCACCTTCTAGTCTCCAAAGTAGTCAAACCCAAAATTTTCAATCTTTTTCGGTACTCAAGATGTCTTAGCTCCGGTATCATTTTGGTAGTTCTTTGTTGGACTTTTTCAAGTTCATTAATATCTTTTGTATAATACGGACTCCATGCTTGAATTGAAAACTCTTAATTTGGTCTAACATATGTACAATACAGTGTTTTTATTAGGTCTTTATCCTTGTACTTGAATGTATTATTTAGTAGTGAGAGCATACTATTTGCTTTACTAGCTGCATGTTTTACTTGTTTGGCCCATTTTAAATCACTTGATATCTAAACACCAATGTCTTCTAGTTTTGACTTTTCAGTTTCCATTAATGTATTGTTATTGTTCATAAAATACGAAATTCTTTATTATTTAAACCAAAGTGCAAGATTTTACATTTTTCAAAATTTAATCCTAATTTCCATTTTGTTGACCATTCGTCAAGTTTATTTATATCATTTAGAAACAATTATGAATCATTTTGAGAGGAAATAAGCGCAATCATCTTATTATCATCAGCATATAAACGACACTCATTAATAAAATTTTCTGGTAAATCATTTATAAATACCAGAAAAAGAAGAGAATCTAGAACAGACCCTTGTGGTACACCACTAAGTACATCAACCCAATCTGTCACACTTTCACCTAAAACCACTCTTTGTTTTCTCTTAGCTAAGAAACAGACTATCCGCGTAAGAAGTTTTTCACGAAATACCAAAAGTCAATAACTTGAATAATAACTTTTTTATGTGAAACACTATCAAAAGCTTTTTTAAAGTCTGTGTACAATACTACCAGTGTTCCATTGTGGAACGCATCTGTTAAAATATCTAGGTATTCTAATAGGTTTGTTGTACAGCTCTTGCTTTTCATAAAACCATGTTTTTTTTTTTTTTTGAAAGTAAATTATTTTTTATGAGATGTTGCATGATACAATCAGCTATTATTCTTTCCAACACTTTACATGGTATCAGCTATTATTCTTTCCAACACTTTACATGGTGTTGAAGTTAACGAGACTGGTCTGTAGTTAGATGCTTTTAATTTGCTTCCTTTTTTAAAAAGTGGCATTATATTTGCCTTCTTCCACATATCTGATAGGGTACCTGTTTCCATCGATTTTTTGAAAATTAAATGTAATGGGTATGAAATTGACGAGCTGCATTCTTTTAAAACATGTAGATAAACAAAAACAAAAACGACCGATTTCAACTTATTAAGTGCTTGAAGTCTTGTTTGAACATCATTTTGTGTCATTAAAACTGTGTTTAATAATAAATTTGAAGGTATATTATGAAACTCAATAATACTTGTACAATTATCATTAACATACACAGAATGAAAATATTTATTTAGTTCAGTAGCTATGGCGAATTGATCATTTATGATTTCCCCATTATTAATTTCCGGGGCTTGAATTTGAGTTTTCGCTGATTTCTTCTCATTGATATATTTATAAAGCAATTTAGGATTTGATTTAAACTTGCTAGCTATAGTACTTTCTTATTGTTTTATATTGTTCTTAATATCATTCTTTATTCTAATTTTTAGCTTATTATACTGAGTTTTTGTTGATTCCTCATTCCAGCCATTATGTTTATTAGCAAGTCATATATTTTTTTTAGTTCTTATTTTATGTTTTAATTCAGGAGTAATCCATTTGTTTTTGTTCCTTCTATTTTGATAATTAATTCTTGGGATAAACAGATTAGTTGCATAATTGTAATAATACAAAAATAAATCATACATATCATTTATAGATTTACTTTTAAATCCATTTTCCCAATCTACATTATTGAAATGGCGAGAAAATAGTTCATAATTTCCTTTTTGATATAATCTAATGGATTTCTTATGTTCGTTAGAAGACGTATAATCATTTATTAGATAACAACACTTTAATAAATGATGACCCTGTTTGACAATTCCTAAAGGAGCTGAATGAGTTATAGAAACAATTTTGTTTTTATCGTTTGTAATAATAAGGTCTAGAATATTAGTTGATTTGTAGTTTGCTATTTGGAATATTGGCTCACATACACATTGAAACAGAAAACAATCTTCAAGACATTCAATAAATTTATTAGTTTGAGATTCATTATCAGTTGCTGAAAAAGGACAATTATTATCAGACCAATCTATTGTATTATAGTTGAAGTCATCTGTAATAATAATATCGCTTTATTCTTTTTGATAAATACTCGTTTTAGCAGCATTAATAGATAGCAAAACAAAGTTATTGTACTCATGAGATATATCTTGTGGTCTATAAAGGCATCCAATTAGCATTTTTTATTTTTTAAAACATATACAAGTCCATATTTGTTCAATAAAATTATCATTTAACTTTAAACTATTTGTTTCAAACTGATTAATACATTGTTTTACATAAATACAAACACCTCCTCCATGAGTCTTTCAATCAATTCTAAAAATATTATAACTAATTATATTTACATCTGATTCTGCTTTAAACCAAGTTTCTGTAACACAAATAACATCCGGTTTATATAATTCACATTGTAACCTTAACTCATCAATCTTATTATTCAGAGACGTTGCATTTGTATACCAAATCATCAGTTCATTGCATTTTTGAGTATCGTGCTCCTTATTTATACTTAAATCATAAATAAATAAACAATTTATTAAATACTATTTTTAAATTTTTAAAGTTAATTTTTAGCAAATGAACAAAAAAGATTTGAGTACAAACGAATGACTATTGGTGAAAACTCAGATGGTGAATTTGTTGAAAGAAATGATGATGAAAATAAACCCCAAAAATCATTAGATAAAAAAGATAAAATCCATGAAGATAAAGCTTCTCTATTGCAACCTGTGACAGATGATCTAGATACAGTTACAAAGCGTACAGTATCTACTGAGGACCATCCTGAATCAAAACAAACTGTTTCTTTAGAGAATGACAAACTTCCAGCAAAAAGAGCTGTCTCAGCTGAAAATACAAAAAAGCACTCATTAGTGATAAATGATGATAGCTTTTCAAAGAGAAGAAAAAGAAGATCTTTAGATGAAGAAAATCAATTATATGCCAACCATGATATTGAATTAGAAAAAGCGGCACCAGTATTTACTGAAAAAGAAAAAACTGTAGAATTACCTGAAAAAAGAGTTGACATTCCAATGGAAAAAACTAGCAACGAACAGTGTAAGTTATTTTATTATTATTATTATTATTATTACTAGCAGTAAGCAACCCGTAATACGCGTTGTTAGTAAATAAAATTAAAAAAAAAAACCACGTATAGAAAAGCCTAGACTTTTCTATACGTGGTTTTCTAAAACTACTTTAAAATAGAAAAGCCTAGAAAATGACGTAACTCGACTAATATTAAATTAGCGTATTCATATCAGATTATTGTTATTTTGTTTATCCATCATTTTATTTGAATTTTTTTCCTTTTTTCTCTTTTTCTTTCTTTCTTTTTTTTTCTGATTTTGTTCTATCATTTATTTTTGTATAAAAAAAATATTTGTAAACTCAACTAGTGATTAAAGCCGACGAAAATGATGATGAAGATGAAGAAGATGATGAACCATCAGACGGTGTTTATTTTTTTGCTGAGATTTTTTTTTTGATAATTTTTTATTTTCTAAATTCAAGTTTTCATTTAAATTTCTGTTTGAAACGCAGACGTTGATGTATCAGGATCTGGCGAAGAAGTTGATGAAGATGAAAACATATCTAACAATGAATCTGGAAGCGAATCAGATGATTCTGAGGTCCATGTTTCAAGAAGAGATATTGAAAATGATATGGAAGGGCTGTTTGTTAAGGTATTTTGTACCTTTTTTTATACGAAATTGTTTAAGAATAACTAGCTACTTAACTTTTTTGAAATAATTTCAAAGTTTATAAATTGAATTATTTAACACCTAATAGAATCAGGAGCAGATAAGTTTAAGAAAGATTAACAGGTTTACATAGAAAGATTAACAGGTTTACATAGAAATAAAACTTTCTAAATTTATTTCATTTAAAAGTAAAGGTTTTTTCTTATTAAAGCGTGATTTGGGAAATGATAAAACAAATGCTAGCACTGTAATAAATAGTACACTGGAAGATACCACTGTGGATGCAAATCTAAAGAGTGATGTAGAAAAAGGTATTCCTATTAGTTTTGGGTACTACGTGAAAAAATTTTTTTAGTTTAACTTTATAATATTAATCATAAATATCAGACGTTTTTATAATCTTATGAAATCAGAGACTAGATCTTATGAATTCAGAGACTAAACCATTGAAGGAAATGTTTGGTGCGAATGTTTGAGAGTGAATGCTAATAGCGAGTTTGCATAGCGCTGATGTTTGTGTGGCTTTCCATGAAAATGACGTTTTTATCAATGTGAATAATTAAACAGAAACTAAACATTTATGTAATAAACATCTATTGATAAAAATTATATTAAAATTTAATTTTTTAGTTTAATTTTCATAAATTTTTTTATTTTAGGTGTGGATAGCTTGTTGAATTTAGTAGTTGAACTTTATAAACAGCAAAAGACAATAAAAGCATTTGAATCAAGTGTTCGTTCATTGAGGCATGATATTTTAAGAGAACTGCATGTACCTAAATTTCAAAAAGACCAAACCACAAAAAAAGTTAGAGAACAAATTCAGAAGACAGCTAGAGAAAGACTTCGCGGTAAGTTATAATTTATAGAGAAAGGCAAAAATAAACGATAAATTAGAGTGAAAAGCTTTGTTTAACACAAATCTTAAGAGAAAGTTTAGAAAAAAACTATAGTTTAGTAAGAAAGACTTCAATATAAACGATAATTTAGAAAGAAAGGCTTCATTATAAACGATAATTTAGAAAGAAAGACTGTTAGGTAAACGATAATTTAGAAAGAAAGACTGTAAAGTAAACGATAATTTAGAGAGAAAGATTGTAATGTAAACGATAATTTAGAAAGAAAGATTGTAAGGTAAACGATAATTTAGAGATAAAAATTTTTCAAGGTGATTATTTAAAAAATAATTTTTAATTTTTTTTGTTAGATAATTTTTTTTACTGCGGTTGGTCATGGTTAGGTTAGTGTTAAGTTTTAACATAGGTTTGTTTGTATTTTCAATAGTCAATTGATTATTATAATAAATTTTTATAGTGCTTACTACCTCAATTGAAAACAAAATTAGCGAGTTTGCAAAGAGTCATCCTGAAGCTTCTAGACAAGCGAATCTTGCTGCAAGTTTGTTACCTAAACTTCCTCTCTCGCAGCGTTCTTTAATTGAAACAAAAAAAGAAATTATACGCCGCGCTGCAGAATTTGATAATGTTGAAGACACTTTTAATGACAACAAAATTCCTGATATTTTAAAAGAACATTTTAAAAGGAACGCTGAACCAGATTTCGAAGACAGCCGTCCACGACGTAAAATCTTCAAAGGTGAAGAACAATTGTCGAGAATGCATCGAGATGTTCAAGAAATTGAACATGAGATGGCTAACGAGAAGGATGGCGATGATGAAGAATTTGATCAACTTTTTTAAGTAAAAAGAAGTGGAATTATTGAATTTATCATTAAAGTTGTTCAAGTTTTTTTTAACTTTGCCTAAACTAAACAAAGCAGTGTTTATATATATATAATATATTTATATAGTATATATATATATATATATATATATATATATATATATATATATAATATATATATATATATATATATATATATATATATATATATTTATATATATATATTTATGTATATACATATATATATATACATATATACATATATACATATATACATATATATATATACATATATATATATATATATATATATATATATATATATATATATATATATATATATATATATATATATATATATATATATATTAAATTTAAGTCGCGTAATATGCGAGTTTCGTGAATTTCTAATTGTCCCTTTAAGGCGACGCTTCGATGTAATATTGTGCAATTATTTGTTTATACAGAATTTTTTTTTTTCATTTGTATAAAGTTGTTAATTTAAATATGTTGCTTTTTTAAATATTTTTTGTTTCTTTAAAATAATAAAATATTTGCGTTTTGAGATTAATTACTTTTTGTAAATGTCTCAAAGATGTGAGATAAAAGCAAAAAAGGACAGATATCGATTCGAAATACTAAAGTTTAAGTATATAATAACATGTAACATAATAAAATGTAGCGAATATTAGGAGAATGATAAAAAAACTTTAAGGTGTGACAGTCATCAATAGTCGTGGTCATGAATAGCTAAACTTTTAATTTATTATGTAACTAGGATCTATAAAGTGTAACTAGGTAGTATAAAGTGAGAAAGTTATAGTCATGGTCATGAATATCTAAGCTATTAATGTATGTGACTGGGATGTATAAGGTGAGACAGTTAAAGCCATGGTCATGAATATCTAAACTTCTAGCTAATCATGACCATGACTAGCTAGCTTAATGTATAATGTGACTAGGATAAGCACCAGAAAGGGAATAAATTTTTTTTTTTTTTTTTTTCAGCTTACAAAGTTAGTCGTTTTACAATACAATAAACTATTAAAATTACTTTACAAATATATATATATATATATATATATATATATATATATATATATATATATATATATATATATATATATATTTAATTACTTGTTTTAGAAGTAGTTATTATGTGGCCTGTGTTGTTAGCAAATATAATGCCCATTAGAGATACATATTTGTTGTATAGATGTCTCATTGATAATCATGTGTAAATGAACATCTCAAAGTATCCCTTTTTCCTATTTGATAAGAACTTTTCTTAGGACATCCTTTCAACACGATTGCAACAGACTTCCGCATAAACACTGAGGCTATAGGACACAAGGTTGTGTTCAGTTTTCATGCAATTGTAAATGGTCAGTTGATTTAGATGTACTACGAACAATGACAAAAAGTCTAAAGTTAAAGCATTTTGTAAGAAAAATGAATCTAGAAAAAGTTGGTAAAAATAATGTCTGATAAAAACATGTGCATAATTGAAGACGGCCAAACATATTGGACTGCAAATTTTTTGCAATTTCCTAGTCAACAATTTTAATATTAACACATTTGTAGCTGTGGTATAAATCCCTCTTGTCTTGTTACTTGCCAATCTCTTATCCAAAGTAAACTTCTTTTTAGTCGATCTAGCTTCTTCTTACTATTCTAAGAAGGTTCTTCAGTGATGCAAATATACTTATGTGAAAATTGTTTTTAATGGAGAAAATCTTCCCAACCTTCCATAAGGGCGCAAGATTGAAGATTTTTAAGTAATATTTAAAGAAATTCTTTGTTAGACAGATGAAGTGGGCACAAATAAAAAAGACTTTTAGCAAAAAAGGATCAAGGTGACAAAAAAAAAGCAACCCATCAAGCCCCTTAAAATTAAGTTGAATTGTAACTTTAAGGGGCTTTATTTATTATAAACATTTAATTCAAGAAAAGTTTGAACAATTTAAATAGAAAATCATCAAAACGCTCAGTGCTTGTGTTTTCTAAGCTGTAAAATTTTGCTAAACATCCGCCAAATATCATATTACTTGATAAAACCTAGTAATAATAGTAAATTTATTGAGGGTACTTCTCTACGTAACAATCTCGCTATTAGGATGCAACAAATTTCAAAAAAAAAAAAAAAAAATTTAAAATAAATATTCCTCAGACACAAATGGTGTTATATTAGTTATTAGAAGAAAGTAAAAAATCTTTTTTAGATTTTGTTCTTGATCAAGAAAAAAAATATAAACGTTAATTTAGAAAGAAAGACTTCAGTATAAACGATAATTTAGAAAGAAAGTCTGTAAGGTAAACAATAATTTATTTAATTAGAATCGTTAATATTTAATTAGTTAGAGAATCGTTTGTTTCGTTAGAGAATCGTTTTTTACAGAAAAAGTAGACTAAGCAGATATACCAGTGGTTGTATTATTTGCTTGTGAACCGGGGCAAGGAACATTTAGGCCTTTTCCAACGTTTTTATTATTATTTTTCTGCTGAACATTTAGCCATTTCCAACTCGTTAATCAATGTTTTTATTTGTCTACAAACTTTTGTTTTTTGGTAAGCAACCTTTTTGTTTGCATTTGTTATTGCTACTCAACTCGCGTTCTGGTGACTCTGATGACGGTGTTTCAATCTTAGTTTTCATAGATCTAAATTTTGTTTCTGGCCGTGCCAATTACGACAAACACTTCTTTTTTTTGTTTTCTTATAGTTTCAAAATAACTTTCAATTTCTTCTGTTCACGCTCTACAAAAATTTGACACTTTACGGAATCAAAAAGTGTCATCGAGTAAACTTCAAATAAGTATACCATTATTAGAAAAAAAGTAATTAGACTCTTTTTATTTAAAAAAATGCTTAACAATAGCAACAACAATAACAATAACAGAATTTTGAAATAAAAGTTTACATTTTATGGTTATTTACAAATAGTACGCGTACTAATCTAAGGTAAACCCCAATTAAATAATAATAGAAATCATATAACAATAATTAAAGTAAATTAAACGAAGAGGATTATAATAATCTCAATAATACTGTTAAATATAATAATGACAATAATAATGATTATATTAGTAATTATAATAACAACAACAACAACAACAATAATAATAATAATAACAATAATAATAACAATAATATCAACAAATATCACATATAAATATTAAACAATTTTAATAAATAATAATGACGGTAATAAAAATGTAAATAAAATGTAAATAATATTAACATCACATATAATAATAATACTAATAACAATAGTATTAATAATCTATTATAAGCTTAAGATTTTAATTAGAGTATTTTTCGATCAAATAGTCAAAAAGACGTGTATTAAATTGTGAAATAGAGTTCAGGGATTGAAAATGAAAAGGTAAACTATTCCACGATTTTATGCATTGGTTTGTAATAGAATTATCGCCTTATTTATTGAACAGCGATTTGGGATAGATAATTTAAAGTTACTCATAAATCGAAGGTAACAACGATAACTTTTTTTAGCAGTAAAAAAATAGGAGAATGACGGAGGGAGGGCTTGTTTATGATTCCAGACAAATAGACAGTTTAGTAGATAAACAAGATCACATAACTTGAGTATTTTTGATAGAAAGTAAAGGATGTCAGAGTTAGAATGATATTGTTGAAAGAATATTATTTTTAAAGCTTTGTTTTGTAGGTTACATAATCTTAAAAAAGCGTTAGACAATCTGACAAGCGTATCTAAGATGTGATCCAAACATTGCATGGTACATATTAAATATAGTTTCATAATTGACATAGTGGCGAATTTTGACAAACATCCCATTTGATCTACACAATTTTACTGCTGAGTTTTTAAGATGAGAGGAAAAGAATAGATCTGAGTCAATTTGGATGCCAAAATATTTTAATGAAACTACGGGAAAGATTTTTGGCTATTTAGTCTAAAGTTTAGATTTTTATACATTTTAGATGGGTTTGATTTGAAAATAATGAGTTCAGTTTTGTTGGTATTAAGACTTAGTTTGTAAGAGCGCAGCCATTGAAGAAGGTTAGATAAATCATGAATGATATGTTTATTAATTTTTTTTATTGATTTGTTTGTTATGAGTAAATTGGTGATGTCAGCAAAATGGTAAGCTGTTGAAAATTTTAGAGAGATATTAAGATCATTTATAAAAATAAGGAAAAACAATGGTCCTAATACAGAACTTTGGGATACACCGGTGGTAGCATTTTACAAGAAAAGATTTGGCATCATTGACGGAGACAAATTGTGATCTATTAAAAAGATATAATGAAAACCATCGGAAAGTATAACCTCGAACACCGTAATGTTCCAATTTACTTAAGAGAATGGAGTGATCAACAAAATCAAAGACTTTCTCTAAGTCAAGAAACACTCCAGATGCAAAAGGTTTATTGTCAAGAGCATTTCTAATAGTTTCAGTTATTTTAATAAATGCATGAGTTGTGGAGTGTTTGTTACAAAATCCATACTGATGTTTGTAATGACATTGGTTTTTGTCAAGAAAGCTATTAAGTCTGTTGTACATGGCTTTTTCAAATATTTTACTAATGTTAGATAAATAAGAAATTGGTTGATAATTTGTGTTGTCTATTATGAACCCTTTTTATGGATAGGAATGCGTTTGGCTATCTTAAAAACATCTGGAAAAAGACCTTTATTAAAAGAATTATTCAATATGGTATAGAGAGACTTGCAAATAACATGAGAAGTAAGTTTAAGAAGGTGTGTGGGGATACTATTTGGTCCTAAACTTTTACCATTTTGTAAACTATTTTTTATCAAATCAGACACCTCATTTTCAGTCATTGGATTAAGAAAGAAAGAATTAGAATTAGCATTTTTTTAAATAGTCAGCGAAAATACTTTTAGAAGAAATCATTTTGTTTTTGGGTGGGTGTTGTATTGTTTCATATTAAATTGCAGTACGACATGCATCTAAAACTTTAAATGTAAATAAATTATAGACCTTTTTTAATTACTTTAATTAGTAAGTAAAAACTACAAACCAGTGCCTATTTTAGAATTTAATAACACAGTGGACAAAAAATTTT